AATTGGAAGAAATGCTGTCCGAAAGTAAAGGAGATTATCTCGGGAGATAAAGATAGCATCTATAACCATGTTTAAAAGATGACTTAGGACTTGCAGCCATTGAGCATAAATACGGCAATAAAATGACTCACGATTAGTCAACAGAGTACAACATGTGCATTATCCGACTTCAGTGATGGTTTGCTATGAAGCAGTGACCGAGCCATAATTTTGTGAAAAAGGCATCAAAACATCGGTATAAATGTATCAAGATACAATTCTTGAGAAGGCAGTTAAGCCCCTCAACAACACCGTTCATAAAACAAGAATTGTCCTTTCAGCAAGATGTGGCGCCAGGTTATAAAGCTCAATCCACCCAATCTTGGTTCGAAACGAACGTTCCGCACTTCATCAGAGCTCAAGACTGGCCGCCATCTAGTCAAGATCTTAATGTGCTGGATTATGAATTATCAGTTTTGTTTATGATTATCAGTAAATAATTTTTCATGGAAAGAGGCCAGTTATCACTGGCCTCAAGGTTTAAAGGACTGAATTGCAGCCAGCGGAGAGCACTTCGAATAAGCTACATATATTTTTAATGGCTTTATAATAATGTATTAAGCTAACACACTTCAATAAAAAAAATGTTTATGTAATAGTATTACTAATTGAACATAAAAGTGCATCTCCATTTTGTATGTTTGGAGTTATGTATAAACATTTTCCGTGTCCTTGAGGTAAAGCTTAAGATAAATTAAGCTTCACTAAACTCGATAAGAATGCATGGTGATAAAAGTTCTTAATGAATATCTAATAATAATCTATAATGAAGATCGAATCTTTACTATTAAATATTAAAGAAATCTGAATCAGAAGCAGTCTTTTCCAATAACACAAACAAACATTATAAACCATCACTATGTACGCGCCGAAACTGTCACCTGTCATTAATTCTTCCGCCTCCTTCGGCTCTGAGAGATATATGATCACCATAAAAAAAGTAGATGGTACTTTATCTATTTACACGATAATAGTCCGCACGCATATTTTACTATATAAGTATAATATTTATCAGAATCAGGCCGCCGTACCATTAGCAATTAAATACGTTATTGGAGTAGCCAAGCATTTTCTTATGAAGAATGTTAGAAAAACAGTGCCCGCTCAAGCGACCACCGTGTCGGGACGAAAGCGGAAAGCATTTATATAGACATATCTTTAAACTGCTTATTTTGTACGTTATTACGAAATTATCTAAATGATCTATTAGAATATCAACTAACGTTAATGTATAATTTTTAAAAAGTAACATTGCAAATTTTATGACTAGAAAATATATTTTTCATCTTGCTTTTACCACAATATTGTGCGTCTAAGTATGTATTAAAGACCTTTGAAAAAGTAACTTATAAGTACTCGTAGGTATATAAGGGAGGTTACCTTTCCAAAATGTTTCGAATTTCAAACTTTTTATAACTTCATCACAATCCAAGAAATTATCCAAATAGAGAAAATTTTCAATCAATGTTATTTTGTTTCTACCCTTATAAATAAAATAATAAATAAATAATACTCATACATTGCTTTGATTCCAAAATAAGAAACTAAACCCCCGTGTTACCATAGGTACCACAACATCCAGAGTTCCCATACCCGGCCTTAGACCTTAAACTAAAATACATATATTGTAGCCATGATTTTAGCTATAAGAAATGCTTTAATATCGATAAGATGTTGTAACTTATGGCTATAATCATGGCTAGAGAATTAGGCAGTCGCACCTCTTTACTAGGATTCCCTGTATGACACTTTAGTAAGTTATTTACTTATCTTTATGGTAGGAAAATATTAATCGACTAGGTATTAATTGACAACTTCAAATTAAAATTACTTTTACCAATGGTTCACGGACCGGAACCTCAAAACATCCATTAATGCACTCGAATACAAGCTTTATATAATTTAAATATGTTATATGTATTCATTCTTTTTCAATTAATAAAAATATACCCAAATATTTTTATTGCATTTTATTTGTTAAATAAAAATAATATTTACCTAACTAAATATAATTATTTGAATACCATTTATTGGTTAGACATGTACTAGACCACGATTTAAGTTGAAACCAGTTATCACCATTCACCACATTGTTAAACAAATAGAATTTGGATTTGATTTGCATAAGTTTATTTTATTTTGTATAGCCAATAGTTTTCTATAAATTATAATAAAACTTCTCTGAGGTTATTCCCGTTATTCTTGGACAATAATGCTGACTAGCCATTTTCATAAAGGTATGAAAATCACTCCTTGTTTTTTTTTTAATTTTCATAATGATTATAAAAATTATTTCACATTTTCATTATACGTGTAGCTATATTAAACGCACGTAAACAGCTAATCTTAAATGTAGGAAATATTTGAGAGGAGTGAAACTTTTTTTTTTTAATTATAGTTGCTCGATACCAGTGATTTCCGATCGTAATATGTTTTGTTATGTATATTAAAATATTAAAATTAAACAACATCACGTACATTGCTCAGATTCCAAGATGAGTAGCTAAAGCCCCCGTATTATGGAGTATCTGAGACAACGAAGGTACAACAACACCCAGACTCGAGACAATATAGAAAAGTTAATTTTCTACATTGACCCGACCGGGAATCGAACCCAGGACCTCAGAGATACATACACCTAAAAACTCGGCTACGGAGGTTTCATAATTTATATCTTCCATCATCATATCATCGATATGCTTCTATTCTAATAATTTTATTCATAGTATTATTAATCTCAATTTGAGATATAATCCTGATGAAATTGTAAGTGTAAACATATAAAAATTAATGAAAATCAAAGGTACCGCAAAATGTGAACCTATATTGGAAACTGTCGTAAAATAATCATTTGAATTTTAATGTCTTGCCATTATAACCAATAATACTTCTACACTTCATTATGATAACAAATTGTTATAATTTATTCAAATGTAGAATGATATTTTAATTTTAGCAACGACTTCTGTGGTCGTTGCTCCAAGTAACCCAAGATCGATTAATAGAAGTAATATAACAAAATAACGTAGCTTGTGTCTGTATAAAAGGTACCATCTTTTTTCTATTTTTATACCACGAATGCTTTAGTTATTAACTTAGAAACATATAATAGAACCTGTAGTTTGTTTTGCGTTAAATGACGCTCAATAAAGTTTTGTTCTTATTAAAAAATCAACTAGATATTATTTAAGGGAACAACACTAGGTACTGTTACACTTCGACAGGGTACATATGAATTTTTATGTCGATCCGCACTATCGAATGTGTAATATTTGGGTACGGATTTGTGTACCATCTCTAACGATTACTATCAAGAACCATGATTTACCATACAAGATTATGATTGGGCTATGAATGAATAAATGAGTGTGATACACTTTATTGTACACCACAAAAAAAAACATGAAAAAAAAGCAAATATTTACAGTACAATCGGCGGCCTTATTGCTAAAAAGCAATTTCTGCCAGGCAACCGTACGTTAGACTGGATTGATTGAAGTAATTGATGCGTAGCGATGATGTATCACAAAGTAAGCAAAATTATTATAACGTAGAGCAAATGAATATATATGTTATATAGTATTCTCTTCACAAATATATAGACATAGACATCTACATACATATATGATAACAACTATAGTTGTTAATAGTTGTATTGGAATTGAATCGGATGATCTAATGTATATTCACATTAGGCAAAGGCATTAATACCCGTGTGAGCCGATCACACCATATTCGGTTTCAAGGTGACGCCTCTAAGGTCCCAGATTCGATTCCCGGTCGGGTTAATGCATAAAATGGAGTTTTCTTCGTTGTCTCGGGCCAGGATGTTGTGTTACCTATGTTGTCTCAGATACTCAATAATACGGGGGCTTCGGCTACTCATCTTATAATCTGAGCATTGTTTGTGATGGTTATACTTATTATTTATTCATTTTAATATCATTATTGCAAAATGTCCTACAAAAATATGTATTTGCACTTATCAAATTCATACTGCACCCGTCCGCATAAACAATCACACCACCTCTTATAGGTAGGGTTGCCAGATGGTCGGGATTCGTCTGGATTGTCCAGACATTTCGTATGATGTCCAGAGTCCCAAAAAAAACAATGATGTCCAGACAAAAATTGTTAGATTTGGTAAAATTGAAATACAAGTATAAAAAATAAAATAACACACATATCATAAAAATTATAATTAGTAGACATATTAGCTGTTAAAATGTTATACTATTATTATGTGATCTTATAAATTGACAAGAAAGTAGATACGTGTAAAATTTAATAAATTAAAAGTGGATTTTTTAGCTTTTTTTATCCTGACTGTGATCCCAAAATCCTGACTTTATCATAGTTTGTCCAGATATTTTAGCCTCGCTATCTGGCAACCCTACTTATAGGTGTTCCTATTTCGTTAACTTCTGATTAATAATTCGTTTTTTAAATAAACTGGAACCATCGGTGATTTCTCGGGGTCAACGAATGTCGCTTGCGTAATACATGCGGAACTATAAGCAAACCATTGTTTTTATTATACTTACCAATTCGAACATAATGTATAAAAAACTTCCGCCAGTGGCTTCGCCCGCGAAGTCTTGTATTATTCATACCCTTTTTGTATTTGACGCTGTGATATGCTTTCTATGCGTATCCTTTTTACGGATGCGAATAGAACTTACCTACCTAAATAGGTAATTATGTTTTCATAATAAATAAAATAAAACCATTTTTGATATAAGTATTTCTTTACAAGATATAAATAACTTAAATGTTCATCATAATGACACATACAAACTCGAAAGATTTTTGACAACTTAGTAATTAACACGCAGCTTTTTACGACGTACAACATAAAACACTCAGATTTATTAAAGTACTTATAATATAATATAAAGTGATGTCAGCCAGAGTTGGCCCCCCATTTGACATTGATAAAGATAAAACTGTAAGTAATCAAATTTATAACGTTAATTTTATCAATTAAATCTGTTTACTTGTACCATTACACACGTATCACTTATCTTTCTACAACCAAAAACGGTAAACAACAAATTACGATAGTGAATCGCAAATAAATCAAACGAAAATAGTCGTTAAGTTAATTAATCAACAACTAGCAACACATTAGTCAGATAAGATAAACAGTTTAGTTCTAACGTCATTATATTAAACCAGTCTTGTATATTAACTAATTTTATTAATTCCATTCATCACATTCTAAATACACCAAATTTACTTTCTTTAAATGGCGCGTTTAATGCAGCAGACAAACTAAGTCCTAATATTTTCCTAGTGTCCTTTGGCGCAACAATACCATCATCCCATAACCTCGCAGTACTATAATATGGAACACCTTCTTTTTCAAACTTAGCCTCCAGTGGTTCCCTTATTTTCTTTTCATCTTCGTCAGTCCACTGTGTACCATCTCTCAGTGCCTTTTCTTTCGCAACCAACGACAAAACGGTTGCAGCTTGCGGACCACCCATCACAGAGATCCTCGCATTTGGCCACATGTACAGAAAACTAGGAGAATATGCACGACCACACATCCCATAGTTGCCAGCACCAAAGCTACCGCCAACTATAACGGTAATCTTAGGACCTTTGAAACAACTCACAGCGGTTACCATTTTAGCACCATTTTTAGCGATGCCGCCTGCTTCTGCCTCTGAACCGACCATGAACCCAGTTATGTTTTGTAAAAATATTAGTGGTATACTCCTTGCTGCACACAATTGAATGAAATGAGACCCCTTTAAAGCAGACTCCGAATGTAATACTCCATTATTGCCTATAATACCGACTGCGTGGCCATACAGAGTCGCAAACCCACACACCAGTGTCTCACCATACAGTTCTTTGAATTCGTGAAATCGACTACCATCTACCACTCTGGCGATAACTTCGCGTATATCGAATGGTCTCTGAATGTTAGTGCCAACGATCCCATGCAAATCTTCAATGTCATGCACTGGATCTTCAACTTTTTTATTATGTATTCTTGTTCTTTGATTGCTATTCCAGTTCAAATTAGATACCACATTCCTAGCTAAATGTAATGCGTGCTCATCATCTTGAGCGTAATGATCAGTGACTCCCGAACGACGGCAATGTAAATCTGCTCCGCCTAAATCTTCAGCTGACACAGATTCGCCAGTTGCAGCTTTCACTAAAGGTGGACCGGCCAAGAAAATTGTTCCTTGATTCTTAACAATAATACTTTCGTCTGACATGCTGGGTATGTATGCGCCACCTGCCGTGCAGGATCCCATTACGACTGATATCTGCGGAACACCCTCCGCCGACATATTCGCTTGATTATAAAAGATCCGCCCGAAGTGCTCCCTATCAGGAAATACATCCGCTTGATCCGGTAAGTGAGCGCCACCGGAGTCGACGAGATAAATGCAAGGAAGTCGGCACTCCTGTGCAATTGCTTGCGCTCGTAAATGCTTCTTCACTGTGACGGGAAAGTAAGTTCCTCCTTTAACGGTTGCGTCATTTGCTACTATCATACAGTCGTGGCCGTGAACTTTGCCAATCGCAGTAACAATGCCGGCGCTCGGCACTTGTCCTTTGTACAGGTCTGTGGCGGCGAGTGTGCTCAGCTCTAATACATCGCTGCCTTCGTCCACCAACCGGTTAATCCTGTCTCTGACGAGTAACTTCCCTCTCGCCGTGTGCCTTTTGACCGCTTCCTCGGGGCCGCCTTTGATGGCTACGTCAGTTTTAAGACGAAGCTCATTAACCAGCTCGTCCATTCTCGCCTTATTCTCTTGGTAGAAAGGGTCGGCCCTGTTCGGCTCGCTGCCGATGATCGACGCCTGGCTGAGATGCCGGCATTGCGCGTTCAGCCGGCGTACCCCCCTGACTAGATTAAGCATTATTGCTTTATAATTTACGCAGCGAAACACGACCGGTCGCCGACTCGCTGCCGCGCCACTGAAGATATCATGTACTGTGTTATCTATACGATTAAAGTCGTATGAAAACAAAATTCTTTACGCGACCGACCCCCGTTGATAAATACAATCATTACGTATGCACAAATGATAATGTCGTACTATTGTGTTCGATATTTTAGGAATGCAATTATAATATATTCACCGTGTTTCATCGAGATTGTAATGTATCTATAAGAGTCGTTTGCGTAATGCCGTGGACCAGATCAACGACTATGATACCTATTGAAGTACCGCCTCACTACACTTCTCAGTTTGGTAAGGTCGTATTTTGAATAGCTATTCAATCATTGTAGCACGACTTGACCCACTTGCCACCGGCGAATACTGAATAGCATACGTATTAAATAAACACATGCCCATTCTAGCAAAGGCCGATTGTATAAGAGGAGAAGCACAGGATATTGCTGTTTTTTTGTTTCAAATTGCCCCTAAAGATAGGCTTATCTTATTTACATATCGTAAATCTGTCACAGATACGTATATGTTACTACTACACACATTCTAATTATAAAATGAAACAGCTCTTAACTTAAATGATACGTATACACATCAGAACAAAATAATTCACTCTTTTAGCCAATGATAATATCTAAACTAAAAAGTCATTGCATATAGTTAACAATTTCGTATCAAAAACACATGTTGCGCATCTGCGTAGCTCTAAAACGTATCTTAACATAATTATAGCTCATACATGAATGAATGCGCCATTCTTATAATAACATGTATTATTTTATGAGTAAACCTATTCGTGTCCATCGAGAATCGAAATAAATGAGTTACCCAAATCCTTTGAATTCCATTGCTCTCCACACAACAATCACTTTTAAAGTATTTCATCGAAACACCGCTATATACATGTATTCATATTTTTAACTACATATTTCTTCTCGATCATCTCCTTGGAGGTTATGTGGCCGGTCAACGACACCGTTTCACTTTCCGCAATGACCCCGCCAGGTGGCGACACTTTCTTTCCGATGACGTTGACTTATGATGTGTTGATACCATACATTGCTATCACTGTTCGGCTATCACTATCTTCATAATAACTTAATATACAGTTATACTGTATATTACGTTACGTACGTGTATATACGTAGGCTTATTCTAAACTAATACTTTTGAATGAACTCTTGAAATTTTATTTGATCGGTTCTATGTGCAACGAACAGCAATCTGATAAGAAATTAAATAGTGTTTAAAGATTATCCGTCTAATATTTTTGTCAAATAATTTATATCATATAAATTAAGATATAAAAATGTAATTATACAATGTTATTTGTCTGCAGACTGCATCTCACGTTAAACAATACACAAAACAGAGCGCATGACGTCATTTGTTGTTAAATTGGTAACAAAATAATCAAGGAAAAACATGGGAATCGTTCAAAGTTAAAAAATATTTTAAATATTGCGTCCTACGAGTTGAAACATAAACAAATATATTCATATTTATTTATCTATAATATATAAAGCTTTTTTATTATAAAATTATGAATATAAATCTACTTATCATGGGTAGGTAATCTTCACCCGAATAATTTCTTGCCGAACATTGCCTGATCAAAGCGTCTAATTGACACTAGTCTTCCGTCTTTAACGAGTATTTTATTACAGTTATAAAAAACATAAATTATTACGTTACTATAGTATTAAAAACTTATTTAATCGGTTCAGTTTTGTAATGCGCATATTCATTACGAGATTTCACACTCTAAATATTAGATGTTTCGAGATTATTACCTTGCGACATGCGAAGTGCGAATTCTTTTCGTATTTAATAGCTTCGCGTATTAAAATAGTTGATATAAGCAATAGTTTTGATATTCTAGTAATTATGTATGATTAATAATAGTGTTTGTAAAGCATAATTATTTTCGACATCGTTAATTAATATTCTAAATGAAAAATACTTTAAAGATCCAAATTTGTCCCTGGCACTCTGAGATGAGATCAACCGATGACCTTTCGCTATCGGGGCAACTTTTTTAACCACTAAGCCACCCAGGACCTGAACTGACGATTTTTTCATGGATTTCACATCCTATCTCAGAGTGCCAGGGGACAACATGTTTTTTTTTTTCATTTAAAATATTTTCCAGTATAGCATTTTGAATGCGTTTTGAATTGACATTTTGAATGCGAAATTGATAAAATATAATATTAATTAATTTCGCGAAAGAGTATTGAGAATTGTTTATTTAATACATATTCTTTACTAATAAATGTATTATTTTACTGAAAAATAATATTAATAATAAATAATAGACTGGTAGTCTATATCGGCTACCAGTCTTTATAGTTATAACTGCAGATCGGTACAACAATTTGGCTTTAGAGCGTAATAGACAAACGAAGTTACTTTGAGATAGACAGCTTCAGACCTCGAGTACCTACCTAATTAATGATACGAGATAATTTCGCAAGGAGTAAATAAACATGTGATAAAATATTAGACAACATACTCAGATCACAAATAACTAAAGTCCTTGTTTTATGGAAATCCTAAATAACGAAGTAATTATAAATATCCACCAAAAGGTGGTCATTATCTTGAAACAAGACACCTACAATCTATACTTAAATCTATATTTAATCCTATGAAACTGCGTTTTTAATCCTGTTCATAACTAAAATAACATAGCTCTAGCCATAGGAACAATTCAAAGTAGTAAATTGAGACGAAATATTTTCATAATATTCACTTAGATGTCGATTCCTATGGCTAGATTATAATAATACATTTGTAGAACTCGTAATAGATGTAGTTTAATTGGGTACTTATTACTAATCGTTTTTCAGGATCGCGATGAACAAACCAAATTGGAGATGAAACACCGTCAAGAAGAAGACGATCTATACAGAAAATTCTCTAAACACCGCGAAGAAGAGAACAGAAGAATACGTGAAGAGATACAGGTACTTGTGTAATAAAAGAAATACTAAACGTTGGACTTCTTTTAATCTGTTTCGTTATTTATTTATAAAACTTTTTTTACAGAATGAATGGGAAAGGGAACTCGAGAGACTGACTAGTCGCTTCCAACAAGAAATGCAGGTGAAGAAGCGGCGTCCTGACGCAGAGTTAGGCGCCCTAACCCTGAGGCATCAGCAGGAGAGAGCGGACTTGGAGAAGAACATGACACTGAGAAGGGATAAGAAGAAGGAAAGTCTGACAAGAAAAATGTTGGAGCACGAACGGTTAGTGGACGGTTAAATCTTGTTTGAAAAGTGCAGTATCAAAAATCATCTGAAAGTAAAAAAAAGAATACGAATTTTATGGCAATTCTACAAAATTTGGGGCTCAAATGTTCTTACTATTATGGTAAAGCCTTTCCTTTAAAGGAACGACTCTAATGCAATACGCGATCCTGTATGTATTGGTGGATAGATACAACCGGGTCTAATGGCTTGATGTATTGTATCTACCTTTCGAAGCACGGAAGAGCTTGAGATAAATAAAAAAAATTGCATTTGATTTATTTCGACATCTTCGACAAATGTTGTATCTGAACTGAACATTTTGTACAATTGCAAACCAGAAAATCTGTATGCCATCGCTTGCTTAGTCAAAAAGCTTTTTTTTAGACCGTTATTTTCTCCTTCTCTTCAGGGCTGCAACCGCGGCACTAGTCGAGAAGCAAAGTCACGAAATGATGGAGTTGATCCAAGAAAGACGGTCGGAGTATATGGCTGCATCATCTCTGTACCTTGACGGCGAGGAAGCGCCTCCGTACCCCTCCCGCGCACCCGCCCCGCAACCCCCTATCGTGTCTAAGTTCCATATTTACACTGACCCAACGGAGTTCGCTGACGTGGACAAAATAGCTATTTCGGTATGTAAAATGATAAGAAGTTTTTCTTTAGCCTTCCCTGGGGCGAAATTGCATTATAACGAGTCATAACTCACGAAGTGGTGAGTTTCGATTTTACATAAAATCAAAGCAATATTAGTTCATCATAATCAGACCTTTTAAATCCCCACTGCAGCTGCTCAGGCCTTCCTTATTAAGGTAAAAGAAGAAGGGCCATGACCCTCCGCGCTGGTCCAATGCGTATTGAAAGGTATGAACGACTGTAAATACAGCCGGACCCAACGGCTTAACGTGCCTTCCGAGGCACAAAGTAGCTCAAGATAATGTTTTTTTGGTCACCGTCTCGTGATCGACCCTTGCGAAAGATGCTTCATAACAAAGGTCGCGTGCCGCGGCGCTTATCCACTGAGCTACTCAATATTAATTTACTTTCCATAATTTAACACCTGGACCAGCCTTAATGTCAACAGTCAACCCTCGCTGATATCTTCTTTCTTTTATATAAGTAGTTTAATATGATTAGCTCGACAAAAATAAATAAATAGGACAAAAAAAATAAGCCACCTTTGTTCTGTGTAAAAAAGAAAAAAAATAAAAAGAGTATAGACAGAACAATTCTTGCTTGACATCATAAACTTCTAACTTCCAGGTAGCGCAAGAAGACCAAAAAACATTCACGGATTTAGTCCGGCAGCTCGTAGGCCGGTGCGCCACAGACGTGGAGAAAGCGCGGACTATATTCCGCTGGATCACCGTAAAGAATCTGAACAACATACAGTTCGATGACAACCTGCGTGGTGATTCACCACTCGGCCTCCTCAGAGGCATCAAGCACGGCACCGAGAGTTACCACGTACTGTTTAAAAGATTGTGCAGGTATGTTAATTCTTCACCAGCCCCGTGATTCTGTAAAAACCCAGACCCAAATTCGAATTCACTCATGTGCCCAAATTCACGTTTTTTAGTGTAGAAATTCTATTGTTTCCATTTTTTTTATAAAAATACAAAACAAAATTGATTGAATATACGTGTCTTAGATATTCTATTCCTAATGTCATTTTGAAACTCACTTTACTTATACCACAAATGTGAATACACAATAAATAGGTATTTATTTTAAATCTTGTCTATGTCTGAATCTGCCCTGCTACAAGGCACGATTTTTGGAAACGTTTTTCGCTTCCTTTGCAGTGCAAAACTTTTGCAATATATCAGACACACTTGTCTGTTAATTATAAATTATAACATAATGTATTATTTCTATATTGCCAGTCAAGCAGAAACAAAAAGGCGTAGTAATCGATTAACGAAAGTATTATCTTTTAGTGTAAAGGATAGTTACTTCATCCTCTAATGACGTCATTTTTAATCGAACTTCTCTTTATAAAATAAAACAGAGAGAAAAACGACCCTTGGAAAGTTTCATGCCGGTTCTTATCGGTATAAAGCCGTAGAATTGGGAACCGATGACATAGATTTCGACTTTAACAAGTGATCGTAACGGCCTAGACTTTATTAACGATATTGAATTTGAACAAATGTACAAGTTATCAGGTTATCACAATATGTCACAGCAATTGATTTTGAACTCTACCCTCAGTGTATTAAGTTCAAAATCAAATGGAGAATTCGACAGTTTTGCATAATCTGACGTGCTGTTGACTGTATACATATTTATCTTTTCTATAGCTACGCAGGCCTCCATTGCGTCGTGATTAAAGGGTACAGCAAATCAGCTGGCTACCAGCCTGGAGTACGATTTGAAGATAATCGGTTCAGGAACTCCTGGAATGCGGTTTACGTGGCAGGCGCTTGGCGATTTGTGCAATGCAACTGGGGAGCCAGACACCTCGTCAATGCCAAAGACGCGCCCAAACCTGGCAACAGGGGAAAGAGCGACAGTCTAAGGTAAAATGAGTATTCATCATAGAGAAAATACATTTATAGAAATATTAGGGCAAGTCTTTCCTATGAATAGAACAACGAAGGAAAGTCAGCAATATTATGGTCCAATTCTTTTGTGGAATTGTAGATATTATACGACTTCAAATACAACGGGACCAAAATAACGAAGTTACTAAACAAAAACATTAATGTACCAGCAGATCGCCGACAATTTTTGTTCAGATTTTGGACTGTACAATAAGATGTTACTAACAACTTGTACTTATGAGATAAAAAGTGGACTATGTACTAAAAAGAACATCTATGACTAATTTGGAACTCCTGACACTTGTAGTCACGAGGTTAAGTACAAACTATTAACAATAAAAACAACTCTTAGGGGCCCAATTACCTCCTAAAAAAACCCACGGCAAATTTCCAACTCCTATGTTTAAAACTCCTAGCACTACAGTGACCGTTTTTATTCTTGCTATTCAGGTACGAGTACGATGACCACTATTTCCTGACGGACCCGCGCGAGTTCATTTACGAGTTCTTCCCGCTGCAGCCGGACTGGCAGCTGCTGAAGACGCCCATCACGCTGCACGACTTCGAGGAGTTGCCCTTCGTGCGCTCCCTCTTCTTCAGATACGGGCTGTACTTCAGCGATCCCAATACCAAAGCCGTCATGTATACTGACTCCACAGGTAAAATTATCTCCGGAACTACTGAGCATAAATGAAAAAAATACAGAAAATACTTTTTTACGTCTACTATTTACGTCTTTATTCCGCTTAATTCGCTATACTTAAAAAAACAAATATTTAAAAATTATTCGTTAAAGTTACAATATAAATCATTCAGAGCATAAACAATATAAAAAAAACTAATATCCAAAATAAAAACTATCCATAACCGAATCCGACATAAATATCGTTTGATTTGATTAATTATTACTTTTAGATACTCTATTCGGTATATTATTAATTATTTTAAGATGCAACTGCTTGTAAATAACCTAGATATGAAACCGTTTAATATTTTCCAACTCTTATATCTGTATCCAAATCCTAAATGACGATGTGCTATCTATCCGATTTTGATGTATTATATCTTCAACGTATTGTATTTATTATAATCAGGTGCGGCGACTATGCGTATAGCCATGCCGGCACACATGCAGAGCTCCCTAATATTCCACTACAACCTCAAATTCTACGACACGGAGGGCGATGGATTCGACGGCGTCAGCCTCAAGAGATTCGTCATGCAGGTAAATAGTTATGTACATTAAAAAGATATTTATCTAAGTAAAATACAAAAACAGCCTGGCGTATTTGAGTGGTGAGAATATATGTTTTTCCTTAACTCGTTCACTTGTTAAGAATTTGTATGGAGTGGAGATATGTGTCGGTTTCTATATTAAAATATTAAAGTCAAAAAACTCACATTAATCCCTCAGACTGGAGTTTAAGCGATATTTTGGTTAACCAAGCGTATTCTCCTATTAAACTACTGGAAATGTAATGTGACTGAATTTTTTCCCAATCATTGTTAATGTACCTACTGCTTTGTCTTTTTTTATCCATTATAAATATTTACAGGTCTTTAGTAATATGTCTAATACTGTTTACTAAATCACTTGTTTAATTTAAAAACGGTGCTACTTTTTTAACAATTTCTTAAAAATTCTTAAAGTTCAGAAGACTTTCAGAAACATAAATAGAATCATCAAATTGGAGCAGCAACCGTTTTAAATTAGATTTTTCGCACAATTTCAATACTCAACGTGTAAGCATTTTCCGATCAAGTTACAACGGCCTTAGTGTTCGTCTAATCGCGTTTAAATGTTCCTTAAAATTTAAATCGTTTACGTTTGCAGTCAGTGGTAGGTAACGTGGTGTCGTTCCGTGTGCACGCGCCCTGCAGCGGCGCCTTCCTGCTGGATATCTTCGCCAACGCGGTGACGCCGCGCGAATACCTCACCGGAGAGCCTATGAAGTTCAAGAGTGTCTGCAAGTTCAAGGTCAGTGAATTTACATTAACGATATATGCCCATAACAACTTCTTTATTTGGTTCCTTATACGCAGCTTAAGTTAATTAAGCTGCGTATAATTCTACCCCATCAATTAAAAAAATTGTGAACTTTAAGTTAGGTAATGAATCAGTGCAAGTTGTTACTTGGTCTCTGCGTGCACAAAAGACCTATAAGCATCAATGTTCTTTTTTTATACTGTTTTCTCCCCACTTTGTAGTATGCATTTTTTATATGTTTGGTTTTTCTGATTTTCAATTATTTTCTTAGGCTGCGCCTAGACCAGGGCATAATGTTTTGCACGGGTCAGGGTTGCTCTTTTTCCCCTTTTGAATTTAGCGCATTTACTTATTCTATCTATTCTAATTATATTTCTGCTTCTTATTTTCTAATTGCAATTTCTTTTCTATAGCACAAACATTCTAAGATTCATAATTATCGGAAGTCAAAATAATTTTGGACATAAAAGTGTACCGTTCGTTTTCTTATCAAAAGGCTGATATTGAATACGAAACTGGAGGGTTCGATGTGTCGCCTTCTCTGAAGTCTCAATTCTCTTGGATCAATATAGAAAATGTTTTTTCTCTCTATTTTCTCGGGTGTGGTGTTTCTTACTTCAGCTACTTAATTTGCAGCCTTAATCTCTGATATTAAAATATGTGTTGTCTATTATCAGATCTGCTGCGCTGAACTGCAGACTGTGATGGTGCCGCTGCCGGACTGCGCGAGCGGCGAATGGGGTCCAACCAAAGCAACCAGACTCTTTGGTCTAGTACCCATCACCCACCAGGTAAAGTAAACTATCGATGCAAGTTAACCATTTAAATACACATCCGTTTTTATTATACAAAATGATACTATGGAAATTAACGAAATTCAATTATATTTTCGCTCAAATCTCCAGGAGGCATTAGTGTTTGCCGGACGGGAACTTGAGATTCAGTTCCGCATGTCACGACCTCTCGCGGACTTCATGGCGACACTTCATAAGAACAGCGTAGACGAGAAACGCCTCTCGAAATATGTTCAACAGAATGTGTCCGATGACATCGTCTCCTTCTACATTACATTCCCAGAAGAAGGTAAGTTTCATTATCATAATTAAATGTATCATCATTATCTCATTACCAGCCCTTTTTATGTCCCCACTGCAGGGGCTCAGGCCTTCCTTATGGATGGTTAAGGAGGATGGGCCATGACCCTCCACGCTGGCCCAATGCGGCCAGGACCAACGGCTTAACGTGCCTTCCGAAGCACGGAGTAGCTCGAGATAATAATTTTTTGGTCACCCATCCCGTGACCGACCCTTGCGAAAGTTGCTTAACGACTACGATCGCGGGCCGCGGCGCTTATCCACTACGCCACTAAGCTACTCCCTACATTAAATGTATATTTAGCATGAATGACATAACGTCATATTATAAAATAAAGACTAAAGTTAGTGATTGATTACTACTCTGGTCTAAATTAAACTATCAGCCGCCTAAAAATTTATGATGACAGAAGAGGAAATGTTAAATTGGAACATATTGACTTATTTTGATCTGATAATGGTTAAAACCTAATACTAAATTTCTATACGATTTTAAATCTTATTTCCAGGTCAATACGGTCTAGATATATACACGAGAGAGCGGGGAGGTCCCACAGCGATTCATCAGAACGGCTCCACGGAAAAGGAAAAGCATCTACTGACGCACTGTTGCAAATACCTCATCAATAGCAGCAAAAGGAATTGAGAGTACTTTAAAAATCGAAATCAGTGGCGACATAAGGGAGACAGAATAATGCTAGCTGTCCCACTTCAAAAGATGACATATATTTCACGAAAGATGAGTCGTGTAATCGTGTAAATGTTTGACAGATATGTACCACTCTTAAGCCTTAATTACTTTATTAGTGGACTCTTGGCATTTCATTCAGATAAGTGCTACGTCAAATGTTTCTTAAGGATTAATAAAAAAAAAATATCTTATGGATTTCCCATGTTGCCTTTAAATGAGTGACACAAGCTAAGTTTTTACTTCTATTATTAATTTTGGGCGCCAACTTTATACTGAGATCAGAAATATATTTATGTAAAAGTACAGTAAGCACATAATTAAATGCAATGTAATATATTTTAGTACGTTTAGATTAATATAGAGAAGATAATTATTTTTATTTTAAGTGTCCAATAAAAGGTGATTCGAGAGCCACGTGATATTTCGCAGTCTTCCAACAATACTGCCAAATAGAAAATCAACCTTATAATATGTGTGCTTGTGGCGTGATTCTGTTGTACTTTCATATTAATTTCAGTGTATTATTTTTCACGTGAAACATACCCAAATGTAGATAAACTAAGGTATGCTAAGTTAAATAAAATCCGTCCGATTAAGTTAAAAAAAATATTATATTTATACTTATAATTAATACATTGTCATTGTAAATGAGAAACTGACATAATGAATTTTTTTTTATAAATGCATAATTTTAAGTACGAGAGGTTGTGTAGAAGCAATTAAATTGCTATTTTATATAAATATTTTGCTTTATTTCGTTATAATTGTATAAACTTTAATTATAGATATAAGCAATACTGTAGCCTTTTTTATATATTATTGCAAAATATGTAAGGCTAATGTATTTATGTAAACTGCATCCAACTCATTCTTAATCAAATGTATACAACGCAACGTATAAACAATACATTACGGGTGTAGACGATTTATTATTATTATTATTTTATATTCTCGGAATATATTTTAAACAAATCTAAAAATAAAATTAATGTTAAAATTTCCCGCTAAAACTCTAACCTCTGTTATGGCGTCGATGTGACGTCACAGCCCTCTAAAACTAACACAAACAATAACAACAAACATCGTTCTCTGTATGTCAATGTCAAATTTATGACACCTTTCTTAGAGACGTAACGAGCTGTTTGCAGTAACGTGACAACGAGTATAAAATTTAAGTGTTAAAAAAAATAATATGTATTTACTTTAGTTTACTGTCTACACCCGTATTTAAAATAACAAAAATCCAGCAAAACTTGACCTGACGCTTCGTTGTGGCCTACACGAATAAATATCGTGGTAAATTATGTATAACCAAACTAGGTTTTTAAGGAAATAGATTATTATCGTCTTTCGTATTTTCATCCGTTATATCACACCTTTTAGGTCTATATTCGCGATAAAAAGTACCCTGTCTTACATATATACTGGCAGAATTAAAGCCTGTATTAGATGCAGTCAAAATATTTGTATATTATTCATAAAGAAATGTCTCATACATAATACACGCACAAAATGAAATATAGCAATTTATTAATTTAAGAAATAGATAATAATGTAATTAAAATAGGGCATTACTTTAATTTAAAACTATAGCGACACCACAAGCTAATTATCCAAACGTTGTCAATCAAATTTTTGCCAGCTTATAAGACCAAATGAGTTGATTAATCTTTTCGTTTCTCCATTAATATGTACTCTTTAATTAAATTAAATAAAAGTGAAATAAAAAATGTATACATCGTGATCTGATAACACTGCTATATTTTGTTCCTAGATATGAAAAAATTGACTAACAATAAGACCCAAAGTATTATGTGAGCATTGTTAGTAAACGATACATTTCGCTCCATCGAAACTCAAACTCCATCATTCCCACGGAGTAGACTATTATTTGTTCTTAACAATTACAATAGACTATGTATTTTTACAGATAAACTAGAATTCTTATAAGATGAGTTCGCTAATCTATTGAGATATTTATCATCGCACGAGGTTCTAAGTATTGCTTGCACACTAGCAGCATCTAGCGGCGACGCGAGTGAGAGAAAATAGTCCCAAGTAGGTTGGTTACATTTTGTTGTATGGGATGAGATCTGTGAGGGGGTACAGTCAACAACCGTATAGCGACCCGTAAAAAAACTCACTACTACACAATACAAATATCTATGGAGTGCGATATATATCTTTTCTTTCGACGGTCACATAACATATGTATCAATCACGATTTTTACATATGCCCTAGGAACATAATATTGTATCATAATATCTGTGGTCGAACGATTTGTCGCTATAGCTTTACCAGTTAAGTAATGCGCTTAACATATTTTCTATAACATATATAAATGAGACGCGGCAATATAATAACTGTAAATTTTTTATTAAATATATGGCATGTTATTTTTCTAAACATATATTTCATTTCAGATCTAAAATCTTACCTATATAGTCTTAATGTTTTCATTTGAGCACCTTATGTCAGTGGGACGGCATTGTTTAACTCACATAGACATTTACGTCATATATATCCATTAACCTATATAAGAAAACTACCATACAATTTTATTTTTTCTTTATAAATAGCAAACCGATTCAAAATATGGCAGAACTAATTTACTTAAACATATATTTTTCTCTTTTAACAGATACTCTATCAAAAATACAATCTCGTTGTTTAAACTTAAACCTATTAAAATCACAACATTTATAGTAAAATTTCTGCTAGGAAAATATTGGCTAATATCATAAAACACAACCATATAAGGCTGAAAATTAGAAAAAAAATAGATACAGCGAAGATAGATCATCAAAAATATCATAGGTCAACATCACCAAAACTATTGAACTAAAGCTTCTATTTAAAAAATCAAGATACAAAATTTATGTCACTGTGTAATTGTAAAGATCGTCGGTTTAGAATCTAACTAACTAATCTACTATAGTGTATAATCTAATGAAAGATATTATATACCAATGCTGTTTACAATTTTACATGACATTATATGCCCACAATTCGTACTGGAAAAGTATCTAAATCGGCATATTAAATCGTATCTATATTTTGCTATCCATAATTGCAATTTAAATAGAAATCACCTTAATTTAATATCGTTATATAAAAAGAATATACACAGCATAAAATGATATGTGTAAATGTACAGGACTCAACCATAAGAAGTTGCTTACAAAACTTAGAATTACACATCATTGCATTCTATGAAACTACTTGGTTTAGAAGACATCAATTAAAAAGAGACGAAGGTCTAAAATTTTAATAAAAAGTATCCATCAATATTCCCATTAAACACAAAATAGGTATAAAAGTAATAATATGGTGAACATTCAACGATGGTCGTTTTGGCAATTTATCTTATGAAATTTGCGAAAAAAAAATTTTTATATGATCTCCATGTATCCATGTATTCTACATGTATTATAAAATATTTTTGAAATTTTGTCCATAACCTATTGGAATGCTCAGATCTACAACTAAATCATAAGCTGTTCATTCAAATCTTTCATTCATTCATTGTTCAGATCTACAAGTAAAAGTTCATAAGTCGTTCATTCAAATCATTCATTCACAAATGGTTTCATTCTAAATATATAAAAATATTTTAACCTTCTTAAATAGTCTTTTCACTTAATTAATAATTATTATAATTTCATAATTAATATTTTTTCTCAGTGTATTTATTTGAATCTCTTATTCCATTGTGTTAACAAAACCTCTACATATTAATGAGCTTTTTGATATTTGCAGAATGAGTCCATTAACCACTAAAATTTTAAAGAGATTCTTTGAGAATAAAAATTTTAGAAAACCTCTGATTCAAATCAAGAGATCATACTAGACTAGACCCTTAGTGGCGTTAAGTGTGGCTCGTTGTTCTACGCCCCGTATCAAAGTTCCCAGTAGACCTTCCATCTCGTTCGCAGTTTCCCGTAGCTGGGTGTTGTCGAAACACGAATCTAGAAACAAATCATACGTAAATCACTGGATTGCAACTTACACTATAGTCTTAAATGAGAAAACAAAATGTAGTAATTGGATTTGAATATTTTCCAACACAGCAGCGAATGTGGACTCAATTTATAGAAAATAATATAAGTTCTATAATAATAGTTCTCATATAATATAAGTAATATAGTTTCTGAAATATCAATCATTCATAATATTGCATGTAACATTGTATATAATGAAATCACAAGTAAATATGAACATTACATTAAATATACATCAAATGGCTCATATTAAGAGAGATCCTGTATTACGTCATCTTGACTGTGTCCTAATAACGTCAATTGTAGAGCCAACACGGCAGTTCTATGAAACTGTCAAATTTCTTCAATCAATCAATTTGAAACCTTAACCTATTTATGATTAGATTAAAAATAGAAAATCTTATAGACACTCACACTCGCACACTAACAGTGGCACATTGTTATTACTTTCAATTTAATCTTCGAAATCTACCAGACAAGTGGAAGCCAGAAACTATTATTATTCACACAGAAAGCTCTTGCCCCAGCAGCGGGAACATTTATAGAACTTTGACGATGATAAATTATTCCATAATTACCATCCACAGCAAAGTTATTGGTGAGTATCTGCTGCAATCTATCGAGCACAGTGTCCAAGTCAGCGTTCAGTTCCCTCATCTTGTGGTTGCTGGACTCCACGCTGCGGATGTCAGCAGCATATTTCTTCTCCGTGGCTGATATAGACTGGTTCACATTTGCTTCAAGTTTACGCGAGGAATCTGTTGTTCTGTTTCCGGATGGATCATTTTCTGTGAAGAAATATACATAAACGTCTAAAGATTTCTAAAACAGGGACAATATAGCAGCTTCTCGGTACAAGGTCTCCCGCCGTAGATTTGCGAATGCCTATATAAAAATGAGGAGTAAAACTACGCCGACAGGATAGATTTTCGACTTTCACAAAACAGTGCTTATAGCCTAGACTAGACTGATTTTGTATTGATTAGAATTTTATAACCTGAATCAATGACAGTCTCTTTTTATTGAAAAAATGGTGTCTATATTGCAACTAGCTTTTGCCTGTGACTTTCGTTGGCGTGCTGTAGTTACTTTGGGCAGCAATTCCAAAAACGTTTTTTTTTTTTTCATTAACATTTAACCTATATCCTTTCCCAGGATCAATACGAAAATGATAAATGTAAAAGGTAGTTGTTTTTTTGTAAGTTAAAGTAACCAATACAATTTCAATGTTCGATGTTATAACAAAACCCATTGCTATAGTATGGGAACCCAATGGCACAGAGCATTCGGGCCATACTCACCAATATACCAATGACTAATATCATTCACGGACACAGTAGATATACTGTCAGACGTAGTATGCACAACCACCGGTTTCAATGCATCTCCTGACATTGTCAGCAAGTTCTGACTGTCTGTTTGTTTTGAGACCACAGAGAAATTGCCAGAGTCCAAACTCAGGACACGGGGTTGCGTTTTCATGTTGTCAGTGACCTTTGATTGCTTTTCATCGAGCACTGGTATCGGACTGAAGAGATCGAAAGCTTGCGGTCGATCGACTTTATCGTGCTTCTGTGTATCAGTCTCTACATTTTGATTCAAACTTGTTGATAAATTATCCTGGAAAATAAAACTCACTGACTACTTGATTTGGAAATGGCACCTTGTAGCAAAATAATATCAAAAATTTGTAAGTATGTTTCATTTTTTCAAGATGTGACATCACATTTTAATAAACTTAACGTCAACGTCTTTGATGCGAGTGCAACTAATATTAATATTTATTGATATGACGTCACGGCTCAAAATGTTACGTGACTGATTGCTTCCGCGAGACGAAATTAATAAATGTTTTTCTTTTATAATTACAATTACTTTGGAATAAAATAAACCTCATAATATGAAAGTTTTAAAATAGTTTACCCAAAGCAATTGAGTAGCCAATTTGATCATTGATCCTTTGTTTTAATTTGAAAATGATATTTTCAAAGTAATTTCACTTTGTAATTCCGTTACGCTCAACATTCCGGGCTCGGTTTCAGATATTGTGTTTGGGTTATAGTCTTGTCTTGTTAGTTCTTTGGAATGAAATTTGTAATTAAAAATAAATAGGTACAATAGTTTAAAAAATATATTACCTTAAGTACTTTTAGCCTCGTTATTTGTGTCGATATTTGTGTCCAATGTGTGTCAACTTTTCTTCTCAATCCATTATTTTCTTGATCTTTCGCTACATTATGCAATTGAGTTGATAAATCTTTCAATGCTCTAAAACAATTGATTTATTTAAAACTATTTTGCAAACGCAAAATCCATATATTTAGGGTTAATATCCCAATGTAGGTAATAATAATAATATAGGTCAATATTCTCATACAAAGTAAAATACCCTATTAAAATAAATCAATAAATATATACATATATAAACACATATATATAAACACTTTAATGACACGCTGATAGTGGTATGATATCATATGAAATATTTCAAATACTTCAAAATGATCAAGTAGCCAATCAAATCCATTTCTTATCATAAAATAAAATCTTTAATCTATCAAAGACATATCACATTATTTATAATTACTACATGCAAAAGAAATTACCAAAACATACACATACTTGTTCTGTGTTTCCAACTGTGTGATAATATCTTGTAATAAACTAGCCGGACTATTATTAACGCCATTTCCGGAAGCCTTCCCCACAGTTGAAGTAAATATGGCAGGTTTGCCATCGCTCCTTCTTTTAACAGTGCCGGAATTTTCCCCTTTATCTATACTCTTTTTAGAGCACTTTTTCGTCATTTTACGCTTTTTCTTCCGGGTGCAAAAAAAGAAACGTTTCATTCCTTTTATAAAACTCATACATTCGCCTAATTTCACCTGAAATCATTGATATATCATTTTAATTATTATTTTATGGCACTAAATATTTTCCGGTCATTATTAACTAGCCTAGTCTTCACAGGAGTTCAAAGGAACAGTGGTTAGCGCGTCCTATCTGCGATTGACTTTAGCAAAGGCCATTTCACAGATGGGTGACCAAAAATTTATTAACTCAAGCTTATCCATGTTTCGGAAAGAATGTTTATCCATTGATCAAGGCTGCATCTGTATTCATAAGCAGTTAGTACCAACAAATTCGCACTAGACCCAGGAGTACTGCTCAGCTTAAACAACAAATTTCAAATAATTTCATAATATACTTAGAATTATATTTTAAATATTTTTTAAAAATAAAATAAAAATAATAGATTATTATATTTGATCAAATTTGCGTTCATAATGCAAAAGATTCTTAATGAATAATACTTAAAAAATCAATCAACAAAAACAAGTCTGTGCCCCAGCAACATGGATATTAAAATATATTTATTGAAGATGAAATGTTCCAAAAATGTATATAATATTATAAGTAATCCTACCTCTCCATCAATAATTTCATTTATTACATGGGTTTTCTTATGACCATTAACTGACATCAAGTCTTTGTCATACAAATAGCATTTCTCACAGAAATATATGTCATTGCATTTTGAGCATTTGAATTTTAGCATCTGAAACAATAACATATTGAATTATTTTTATTCTAACAACAATTGTAATGACCAAACTATAAATATTAGGAAATATATATTTGAGACAAACATGGATGAAACGATAAGAGTAATAAACAAGAACTTACTTGATACTTTTCTTTCGATACTAAGTACTTTCGGCATCGATACTTTAGAACTGAGTAACAAGCAGTATTGTGAAGAAAGTATTTGTATTGGTACTTGGTCACTTACTGAGAATTGTAAAAAAAAATCGCGTGCCTTAGAATATTTACTCTGTGGTAAGGTGTCTAAAGTCGGTCTCTAACATCTCTAGCTTAAAGCATCGCTAACCTCTACTGATTTTATGTAGTTAGAGATCTATCTAGAAAGGGCCCTACCAACAAAATTTTGAAATGACACCTAAATATATGCATTGTTTTTTCGATGCATACAGTTGGACAGATTTAAAGAGCAGATGACTGCATCAAATCTGCTCTTAAAACCTATAAAAATGACGATGATGGTGAGATTTTAAAACTATTCACTTCAAGTAGGTATCAAAACTTTTCATTCAATACCAAGTATTGATACTTAAGTGGTATCATTTCATCCCTAGAAACAACATATGATCACAACTGAGCTCCGAGCTTTCCCTGCCAATATTTGAATACTTGTACATCTGCTCTCATGGCATGACTCGAGACGCATGAGAAACGTTTCTATGGTTTCTTGAGTTAATCATGCTTTGTAGACTGATAATGGAAATTATTGAATAACTCTTTTGCTTATGACTGTGCCCCGAAGCACAGGGGTTATTATAAAATATTATATGTACTTACCTGTACAATAGGATGTTTGCAAGCAGCACAGAAAGCACCAACACTAGTAGAGTTTCTGCTGCATGTTATTCGTTCCATCACAGGTAGCCAGCGTGTGCTGGTACAACACTGGCTGCCCCACTCTGCTACACTGTGAGCACTTACACCTAACATACCAGCATTCTGTAATAAACATAAGAAAATCCATATAATCTAAAAGCCAGCTATCAATTCAAATTAGAATTACTTTATTACTACATAGTATAAAACAAAGTCACATTTATCTGTCCCTATATCCCAATGTATGCTTAAATCTTTAAAATTACCAAACAGATTTTGATGCGGTTTTTTTTCATAGATAGGTATAGGATTATAGGATTCAAAAGGAAGATTTTTATGTATAATACAAGACGACGCGGGCGAAGTGCTGGCGGAAACCTAGTATTATTACAGCGATTATTATTAAAAAATCTTATCACCAACAAAACAAATTTAAACTCCAAAAAAATCCAATACATAAACTGGCATAGAAACAAAGGTTATTTGTACAAAAGTGACAATACTATTTATTGATATTGTGCTGTCCACAAGTAACTGGATAAAAAAAAATTGATTTTAATACAATTTAATGATACTTTAAGTAATTTTTTTTATAAAAATCACTAATCAAAGATATGAGTGTCCTTTTAAATTACACTCTTATTTTGTTACATACCTTGTCAAAACAACTATTAACATCAGCCTGCAAGTGTTCAGCGTAACATCCAAGATACTGTGTTAAAGCCGTGATGTTTGTCAGTAGCGCAGCGAGTCTACGAGGTGAAACGCAACAGTTGTGGTCTGCACAGCAGTTGGCTAAGGCCACCCATTTGTCATTAGAAGTCTCATCACTAAGTACAATCAAAAGTGTTTTTGCTGCCAGAACTCGAACTGGTTCTTTTCTCTCTCTAAAGATGAACAAAATATATATATTTTTTAATAAAATTACGAATTACGAGTGGTTGCAAGCCTACATTCCAACAAATGCTACTTTAGCTAGATTTTCCAACCACAAACTGTATTTCGTATACACAGTATGAATATAAATGCCAACAATCATTAATTAGTTCATAAGGATTAACAAACTAATTAATGATTCCCAGTGTTTAATTTTTCTGAAATAGGTATATAATCTTTAAGTAAAATAAAATATGATCAAAAACTATGTACACCAATTGTGATTGAAAAGATACTGCCAGTACACAAAGGATGTTGAGTTATTGAAATACGATTTACAACTGATATCTAGAAGGGGTTAGCAACAAACTATAATATATAGGTATAAATAAAAATATATAACATATTAAACAATAATTCAAAAACAAATCATTGATTAATTCTCCTATGAACACACAAATACTTTTGGAACAGTCAATTCAATACAGATGATGCCTAGGCAAAAAAAAAAGGAAATTGTGTTAAGTTTTTAACAAGAAATGGCTTAGACAATAGACATTAGAGGCTCGCTACATCACAACTATGTATAATATGTACAAAAGTGTAATGGCATGCAACATTGCAATTCAATTTTTCACCATAACTTAAAACACAAAAAATAATTGTTTAATATCCTTTAATAATCTACAAACTGACATGCAAACAAAAATTAGTTGTTATCCCTATTGTAATGTGTTGATTGTTGAATATATGAAACTTAAACATGAATACATGAATTTAAGATTTCCACTTTATGTATTTATCAACACACCTAATAGATGTTTTGTTACTATATTGATATTATGCAATATAGTAACTTTTGCATCCATTAAATTCATTCTACTACAAATAAAATTACTTATTAACGCTTACTTGTCATAAACATTTAAGAGTAGATTTATCAACATATCCACAGTCATGTCAATGTCACCATCAAAAAGACCTTCCTTTTCAGCAGCAAAGTAAATATCAGCTAGAACAGCTTCTAATTCTGCTGTATCTAGGGACAAACTACTCTCAGAGAGACTGAGCTGATGTCTTGCAAACACTCCAGAACTGATCCGCAGAGGTGGCACTGGGAAAACAAATTCTTATGACTATAATTACATACACATAAGTGAACACCTCTTTGTTAACATACTATTATAAGCTAAATGCTTTAAAAGCTAAATGGTACAATAGATTTAAAATCAATGTTAAATAATATATATTGTCTGTTTGTTTATGAAATGTAGACCAATTTTATCATGCATTACTATTTAAAATGCAGTTTCAATAACATATATGCATTATAGGCTTTGTGAGATCAAGTAGCTAAATAAGGCTATATTAACACATACCTTTCAAGTGCTTTTGAAGAGCTGTGACCTTGAAAGCTATTCTGTAAACACTGTATTTGATACCTTCATAATCTTCAAAAGACTCAAGAATTTTTAGAAATTGTGGATGGTCGTACTGCTGCTTACCAGATGTTTCACTGAAAGCAAATCGATTTTTTTATAACGCTAACTATAATATTACAATGGCATATATTTCCTAATATTTGCCAATTTAATAAGTTCCATGATCGGTAGCAGTTTATATCTGAATCAAAACTTAAGACCGACCCAAAGACCTTTTAAAAATCTGTGATAAAAATCACTTACTTAATATAACATGGGTAGCCGACCTCGTTTTCTACTTTTCTCCAGTTCTCAAGAGCCATTGTTGAATATTCATAGAGATTTCTGTTTTGCTTTTTATTCCACTGAACGTAATTAGATTTTTTTTCCAACCATGTCAATCAAACTAAAAACGTATTAATGTGTAACGTTTGTTATAAAGTGTTACAAACTCTGCTAAAAACCAAATAAATCATATCAACAAAATAAACCGTCATTGATATTCAAATAAAAAGTACACTTTTTTCTCGATTAGAAAAACATATAAGGCAAAGAGCATAGTTTACACAGCCTCTTATATTATAATAGAAAATATAAAAATTATAATGAATTTTATATTTTCTATTAAAATATGTTTTTATATTTTCTATTAAAAATTCTCTTACATACTAATGATATATGTTATTCTTTTTCTTGTATGAATGCGACGGAAAACAATACGGAGTTTTCTTCCTTTTCAGTCTATGTCAAGGATATGAGGAAGTACTAAAAAAAAAATTTGATTTGTTTTCTTTCTTGTTTAAAAATAAATTAGTTTTCAAAACTCAATAAACTTATATTTTATATGTACTTTTTCGTATACTATTATTAAATAACTTATATTTTATATTTACTTATTCGTATTTGTATAGATATCTAAGTTTCGAACTTTTCAAATTTCAGTTTTATAATACGTTAGTTAAAAGGAACGGAAATGACTGTCTTTCTTTGGTCCATTCGTTTCCTGCAAAAATCAACTTTTGCTAGAGTCGCCATCTGCCAAAGTGCTTTAATTTTTTTTTTAAATACTTCCTCATTGCTTAGGAGTCCATGTTTGAACACCCTTGATTATTCCTACCATGTTGGTAGATTTCCAAGGTCGATAGAACTTCACGGTTAGTACGGCAGTTTTCGTCCCCTCTCCCTACATGACGAGGCGAGGCCTCTTGCATCGCCTTTGGGCCGCCGCTGACTACACTCACTCACAATGAGGAAGTATTTTAAGCAGGTGTTCAAAACGACTAAAAACCATTAACGCGCTAAAGACTAACGATAATTTATTTAAACGTGTTAATAAAAGCGCTAATTTATTAACGCGTTAATTTAAACAAGCGGAAGGGTGCGTGAAGACTCGTTAAATTTTGTAACACATTAATTATTTTATGTTGTACGTTAAACAGATTACTTGCTATATTAAATAATAACTCATTATTATTTACTCTTAATAGCTCGAATTAATTATAGCACTACTTACTAAATTAAAAGAAAATCGATAAACGCCCGTTCACACTTTTCCGGTTTAGGACTGTCTATAAGTCATTGATTTTATGTACAAGAATCTACATTTGCTATCATATATTTTATTCACATTATTTACTCACGATATAATTGTTTTAAACAACCATTTATAATAATCTATTTACACGCACAAACTTCTTTAAACATACACAGAATAACACATAATCACCTAAAGTACTTTTATTCTAAAGTATTGAAAATATAGACGTAAGCTTTGTTAAAACACAGGAGATAGGATAGCGCGTAATAATTACCTACTTAGCGTGTTCCGAGCATTAGCAATGACACGTCTTCCAACGATCGCGCTCACGTGTTCATCATGTTAATTTACTTTAATACATGAAAGAAAACCGGAACCACATCTAGTTTGATTTCAAGAACTATTGTTTTTTTTAATACTTCCTTATTTTAAATCAATGGGTTTTTAAAGTCATTTACTAGCCAATTAATATAGCAATATAGCTTTTCAATACATAGAGGTCTTAATATTTAAAGATGTTTTAAAGGCTGTACCAAGTTGTCAAGTCCACTGATGCCTAAAACGAAACGTATCGTTGGTACTGACAAGCAGCAGGTTTTCACTGTCCCAGTCTTTGAAAAATTGTTTAACTGACCAATCACAATTCAGCTTTTGTTGTTTACAACTTATAATAACCAATCACAGTTAGGTAAAGTTTTGTAATTTGGGCTACCATTTTCTCTTTGTAAAGGAGACGCCATTTTGCAAGCGTCACTTGGCGGCGTGTGCGGTTTTAACATTTTTATCAAGTAGTCTTCACTGAAATCATAATATTGTTTTGTTTTTGTGTAATATGTCGTATCAATCTAGTGTAGCGCAGGATTCATTAGCTGCGGCACAATTAGAAATGGCCGGTAACCCTAATGCTTTGGCTTTACGGCGCCCATTCGACCCGGTAGCCCATGATCTGGAAGCGAGTTTTCGCTTGACGAGATTTGCTGATTTAAAAGGAAGAAGCTGTAAAGTCCCCCAGGATGTATTGGGAAAACTGGTGGAGTCGTTACAACAAGACTACTCGCAACAAGATCAAGACCAATTCATGCATGTAGCGATACCGCGAATCGGTATCGGTCTGGATTGCTCGGTGACGCCACTGAGACACGGTGGACTCTGTTTGGTACAAACCACTGACTTTTTCTATCCTTTAGTAGACGACCCTTATATGATGGGCAAAATAGCCTGTGCTAACGTCTTGAGCGACCTTTATGCCATGGGTGTAACTGAATGTGATAACATGTTGATGTTGCTCGGTGTATCAACGAAAATGACAGAGAAGGAACGTGATGTTGTAATTCCTCTGATTATGAGAGGATTCAAGGACTCCGCTTTAGAAGCAGGTACCTCTGTAACTGGTGGACAAACTGTAATCAACCCGTGGTGCACTATTGGAGGGGTGGCCACTACAATTTGCCAGCCTAATGAATACATAGTACCTGACAATGCTGTAATGGGGGATGTTTTGGTTTTAACAAAACCCTTGGGAACTCAAGTTGCAGTAAATGCTCACCAATGGCTAGATCAACCTGAGCGCTGGAATCGCATCAAGTTGGTTGTATCAGAAGAAGATGTACGCAAGGCATACCATCGTGCAATGGACTCTATGAGTAGATTAAATCGTATTGCAGCACGTTTGATGCATAAATACAATGCACATGGTTCAACTGATGTTACTGGATTTGGCCTTCTTGGACATGCACAAAACTTGGCATCTCACCAAAAGAATGAAGTGTCTTTTGTTATTCACAACTTGCCTGTGATTGCTAAAATGGCAGCAGTGGCAAAAGCTTGTGGAAATATGTTCCAATTGCTTCAGGGACATGCTCCAGAGACATCTGGAGGACTGCTTATCTGTTTACCCCGTGAACAAGCTGCTGCCTACTGCAAAGACATTGAGAAGCAAGAAGGCTATCAGGCTTGGATCATTGGGATTGTGGAAAAAGGCAACCGCACAGCACGCATTATTGATAAGCCACGAGTGATCGAAGTACCGGCTAAAGATTAAATAACTGAAATTTTGAGATATTGTAATAACAATACTTAAATTTCTTATTGACATCGGAACTGGACAAACCTTACAATTTTTATTTTAAAATAATTTGATTGTTCCTTGAATTTCTTTTGAGGAATTTGTTTGTCAGGTCACTGTTCTGTATGATAATAACAAACAGTTGAATAGTTCTATTGAGAATATTATGTAAGAAAGCTTTTAGCTGACTTTGTCTAGTGACTTTGATGTTTATATTTAGGTAAGATATCACTAATAAATTTAAGAGAATAATTCCATTAGGTACACATAAAACCTAACATTTGTTTGCAGCTTGTGAACAGTATCTGCAAATTGTGAGATAAGTATAATTATTAGAATAAAGTTATTTTTCAGTCAAATGGTTGTTTTATTTATGAACCTGATATATATTTTTTTAAACAGAAATTATCACTGTAGCAAATTAAAAAGCTGATTTTTTTTTATTAATTTATTCATAAATGTAATCTGAAGTTACATTGTTAAGGTTAACATGAAACTAATCCAATTTCAGACTGTAAATATGAAAAATTATGATTATTTTAATATTCATTTATAAAATGCACTTACACCAGTTGCTTTCATTTCAAAATGAAACATCCTTAAATTACTTATAACTAAAAATTGAATAGGAATTTATTGGTTTGGAAATTTATATCAAAATAAACAATGATATGTAATGGGAATTTTCAATAATCAATTTTTGCCTTTGAATAAGCAATGATGCTGGATTTGCAGCATAATCAATAGAAAATTAAGAAATATCAAATGGAAGTAAAGTAAACTTAATTGTTTAAAAAGTTCTAGCTCCTACTGAAAATTGAAATGTACAAACAATTATTTCTAATGGGTAAATCAACTTTCTCAAATGATTCAAAGAAACTGTCAATGTGAGCACTTAAATTACTGAACACAATTGATTTTAGCACTACTTTTATTAATTTACACTTTCAGGTGCATTTAAACATAAAGAAATGCCATGAAACATGCAATGTTATTGTAAAGTTAACTACAATTTGGGGAAAATTACACTAAGCTGTGAGCAATCAATTGATAGTAACGGTCCAAAACTCCAGTCTATTGCAAATGAATAAAATTTAAACATTTGTCATCACTGTATCATGAAAATCATAAAGTTTGATTTAAAATTTTAAAACTGCCATCACTATAGAGTTTATATCCAAAGCACAAACTATGCAGTGCAAGTGAACAGTTTCAGTTGAGACAGGGTTTCTTGCGCGGTCTGCTGTCATCACCATTCTGCTCGATGTGGCTCTGGTCTCGTTTCTTTGGAGAACTATTGTTCTGAAAGGAGTAGAGGGAAAAATCTAAAATTCACTTTTTTATTTCTATTGACAATAAGTAGCACACCAGGTTTCCAAAGTGGTAAGGCAATTGATGGTAAGGCAATATAAAATTGATCAGTAAAAGTCAGTTGTACTACTTAAGAGCATACTGTTGGTTGTATATACTATTTTTTTAACTAATCGATTTCTAAACAGTAAATGCACCATTTACCATTTTGACATAAATAAAAAAACTGATTCAAGTTCATTTGAAACCGACACTGCAAGTAATTGCCTTCAACAAAGCATTCCTGTTTATAATAATAGATATGTAATTCACAATGTAATAGGTGACTGTAATTCTATATTTTACTTTTCAACATTACTCACAAACCAGTAATATGTTGACTCACTATTGTTTCACATATTCAGGATAAGATCAAGAAAAATATACTTGTTACTTAATAATTTACATAAAATTAACAATTTCATTTATATCAATAATTAGTAATTTTATAAGAATTCATAATGATATTACCTTTTTTTCCCATTGTTGATGTAAATATCTTAATAGTATGTTTGTCTTTTCTGTCACAATTACTGTAAAAAAGAAATAAAATTATTGTAAAACTTTATTCCTAATAAATACAGATATTAGGCACAATCTATGGTTTAATTGAGTTTTTATCACCATTACTATAGATCAACTAAACACAATGAAACTAGGTTGTTTCACAATTTAAAAGAAACTAAATAAAAAATGTGCCATGAAGGTAATTAGTGAAACAGATACTCAACTTTGATCAGAAGGAATATCTTTAGTTTGAAGGTATATTGAAGGCCTTTTCGAACAATTTCTAATGCCGTGGTCTGTGTTGAATAACGTAAAGTTGTGTTCATCATACGACGGCAAATCCTTCAGAAACTCCATCACCGACTGTCGAAAAATACGCATATTATTTATCGAAACTAGTAGAAAGGCTGTCATGTCCAAGGACTAAGCGTGGTTCAATTTAATAACAGTTAGGCGATTGACTTTGGAAACACATACCATTTTTATTTGATATATGCTGTTTTGATCTTCCAATAAATGTAATTTGAATTTCAAGGGCCAAGAAGAACAATTAAATAAAAAATAACGATGTCGACGATCACCTCTGTCAGAGCAAAGCAAAAGCAACCAGATGAGAATGACAATTTTATTTTTTAATTAATGTTGATATCAACACCAATTATAAAGGCCAAGAAATCTAAATTCTGGTTATGATATACATTCATTATTTCAGCACATATTTACAAATTTCATAATAATAATACATGACAATATTTTATTGCAAAGTAAAATTAATCACAATCAATTCAAGGCTATATGAATAATATAAATTCTATTTTATGGGATAAAATATAATATATATTTTATTTTTATAAAATTATATGTGTATTTAATATACATTAATGTACGACATAGAAGGCCACCTATTTTATGTAAAATTCTGCAAATACTTTCCAAATATTTCAAATTTAAAATTAAAGCCTCATGCAAGGCTGTATGAACAAAATTCCTTGAACTAAACAAGTAAATTGGGGTTTGGCGCCAAATTCAAAATTATTTTTACGTTACAGTAAAGTAGAAGAACATTTGCTTTGCAATACAGATTTTACGCAGTTGTTATTAAAATGTTTAACTTAGTTAATTCAAACTACAACAAAATATACAATCCAAATGGAAAACAAAATGCATTGTCTGATATTAAAAGACTTCTAACATCGCGCCACACTGAAGCCCAAATAAAAGCATGTGGGTATTTAGTTGAAGTAATAAGTAGATACAACAAAATTTCTAAGGAGAGATCTCGAATGATGGAATATTTACTGGACAACGATATTACAGTATTTCTTTGTGAAGCAATATCAAATTTAGATTATTCTCTTTTTAGGTTTGTCTTTACAATATTTTTTCCTGGTCGCAGTTACACTGGTCAACGAGATACGCAGGCGAAGCATGAACGACCTCTCAAATCATTTGCTAATAAAACAATGACCAACCAATGAAAGCTGGCCACAGAAAGCGCCAGCACTCCACACGCGGATGTAATCGACCAGTGTAACTGAGCCATTTATCTATCTACTTAAGTTTTAGCGTCTCTGCTAAGTAAATAAATTTTGACAAGTTAACAATAATTCTATTTGTTTTTTGTTTATATTGTTTTATAAAAATGTATTTCATTATTTCTATGGTTTAAATCGATTAAGGTAATTCGGATTATATCCATTTTTGAAGTGGCTTTTTCTAAAATAGACTTGTATCATCATATTTCAATTTAAATATACCTAAATATTACGTAATACCGATAACTTATATATTTAAAAAAATATACAAATACATTGGTATAAAATAAAAATGGGGCATAAAATAATCTCTAGATCCGTTCTCTCATGTTTGCGTCTGCTGTGGAACGAGCGTCGCTTCTTCACAGAGGAGCACGCGTCCCATTCTATGGCGGCAGTGTTACGATCTTTGTCACATTACGCCGGAAGCGGCTCATATGCTGCCGTGGAGTTATGTTTACACTTCCTATGCGACTTGCTTGATGGGTAAGCTGCACATTATGTGGCTCATGCTCGTGGGCATTTTAAAGTCATCATGTCACAAACTATCAAGTAACCAATGGGTCATAACTATCGGCTTATTGTATAACTAAATGTATTTCATACAGCTGAAAGGCCCTCGATGGACCAGTGAATTACTCGTTCGGTTGACGATGCTTAGGTTACAATTCGCAAGAGTCAGTCATAGAATAATATTAATATATTTTTGGTCCTCTAGACTACATCTTTTCAGAAAACACATTAAGTCGTTGGTCCCGGCTTGATCTGTTGTATTTCATATAAACAAGACAAGGGACCATGTTGAGTGTTATGGCTCGTTCTACCTATTTGTTTTCGTAGGAAAGACTTAGAAGTGAAGAACAATGAGGCATTAAAAGGCTGTTGATGATAAAACTATCATTTACTTCGAGTTTGATGATCATAAAATTAAAGCTTCTTTGTAAGATTTTATGACTGAATTTTGCTATTGGTTTCGGCTATTAAATCAATAGTCGATCAATTATAGAATGAACCTTAAACAACAAAGTTAACTAAAGCTACTATTTGGGGTAACTCCACATTGTCCCCAGGTGTCCATGTCCACCCATGGAAATTCATGGTTACCGGATTCTATAAGGATCATATATTTCAACTGTTATGTTACCGCTATTTGTAAAAGAAATTAAGATTCATCATTCTGTTATATCCTCACTGTCTGAGGACAAGCATTATTTTGAAAAGAAATACATCTTAGGGAGAACATGTACCAATGCCACGTTAGGTCAAAAAACTCAGCGAATTCTCAACATAATAACTATTTGGTCGTTTATCCAAAGACTAGTTTTGGCAAAGCTTGCTTAACTTCTACAAGCACGTATCTGTGTGAGAGTAGCTCGCTGGCGTAGTGGATAGGCGTCACGACCCGCGATCGTTGTTAAGCCGTTGATCCCATCTGCATTTGCAGTCGGTAACACCCTCCACTCCACATTGGACCAGCGTGGATGATCATGACCTATCCTCCTTAACCATTTATAAGGAAGGCCTGAGCCCCTGCAATGGGGACGTAAAAGAACTGATGATGATGATGAGTAGACGTGGAGCTTTTAGATATTTTATCACATTAATATTGCCATATTTTTTCAGGATAAGCTCTTTTGAAACCGTTTCTCCCCTATGTCATCAAAGTGCTTACAGCACTGAGCAGTTATTGGCTTGTCTAAACGCTCTAGCCTCGATTCTTAACACAAACCCAACAGGTGTACTATCTAGCGGTTTAGTGCTGCATGCTTTAGTATCATACCAGCCAGATAATCTTGCGCTTCGAGGGACAACAGCCGTTTCCTTAGTAGAGGTCATGCAGAAATGGTTCAGCTTGATCATGGGAGCATTGAATCATTCTGTGCTCATGGGTGATATTGAAATTTCTGGAATGTCTTACGTCGTTGTTTGTCAATTAGGTATAGATATTTTAAGGTTAGTATTTTAACGTAATTAAATAGATTTACGATACAAGATATGATTTATTAAAATATAACTTTAGATGTAAACTAAAAATATGTCTCTCTTATTTTGTTTCAGACTGACTAAATTATTGCTTAAAAGTAATCATAACAAAACTGATTTCGTTCAGACCATTTTGGTGGATCATAGTGAGATAAATTTGCTTAAAGAAAGCGCTTTCGAAATGAGAAAATCTTTACGAAACGTTATTTCAGAACTCGTTGTTTTTACTAAGGCAGGTTTTGAATTTTACTCAACAATATATCTCTCCAGCAGAATACCATAATTTGTGACCGAAGTAACAAAAGTGCAAGTTCGAACTTTTCTACCGAGTCTTTCGAGTTTTTGTATTTTAATGTTATTGCTTGTTCTCTTTTTTTCTCTCGGAACCAAATTCTTTTCTCCTTTGGTTATTGTATTTTTCATTTTTTACCGCGTCGAATTAAAAGTTTTAAAATTCTCTTCCCACAAAGTATCTATTCGTTTGATTTCAATTTATATATAAAATTTAGATGTATTAGTTTGGTATAAGCCTTCATGGAAAGTTCGCGGTTACATTCGTTTTGAACATAGTACGAATTTAAATATTGACCGAAAGCATACCAAGTGTTTTATATCCATTGCGTTCAATGTTGGGAAAAATTTAAGCATCGTAAAAAAATAATATAATATACAGGGGCGGCACAGGGCAGGACTTCCATCTCGCAAGTCAACAGGTAGCGCTTGGTACCAGGCCGTGTTAAATCAATCCTAGCAATCCGATATATCTAATATATCCGATATAATATAAAGAAAATATACCTATCCTACCCCACCTCGCTCAAGCCAATAAAAGATATTGAACACCCACCCCGTTCAATTTTCAATCCGTTACTAAAATAAATAAAATATTAATTGATTTACACCCAACACTGATATCGGGAATGGATTACAAAACAATAACATTTAGATATCAGATTATTTTAGAGTATTCTTGCAAATCTCTTAAGTTAATATGAATCGTCTATTTTTTTGCAAAATATCTTAAACTGTATAAGTAGATTAAACTTTCTATAATTTACAAAAAAGTGATAAGAGGAATATCTTTCACTTATAATTTAATACCTAAGCCATAATTTATAGGTATTTTTATCTGAAATTTTCTGAACAGGATAATCAATCTCAAATAGCTACAGAAGAATATGGCGTGTTTCTGAAATTTCTACTGTTGTTTTTACAAGAGAACGCAAATCGTGAAGTATTATTCGAATTCTGTGACGTTCTTTACGCTAAAAATTATCTTACGTTGTTACCCCATGCTCAAATTGAAAGGTATTAAAATTGACTTTAAAATAGTATTTTTGGTATCCAAGGCATCATTTGTTTCTGCATTCGGGCGTCGAACTTAAGTCGGACGAGGCTTCTGTAGGCTTCAATAGATTTTGATTTAATATTATTCTTATAAATATATATATTTTTAAATAAAATGCTGTTGTTTTTGTTTTCAAATTTGAAGATTAGTTAAATTTTTTTGAAAGTTTTATTTCATGATTTTTAGTAATATTCATATTTTTTAAATAATAATATTCAACATATTGAAAGTCTTTGAAAATAAGATTTTGTTTATTTGCTCGGCATCATTTTTTCCAATAATTATATACTCATATTATAAAGAGAAATGATTTGTTTGCTTGCTTGTTTGCATTTAGTATGCGTTGGACATAGGCTATAATTTACGCAGGCGAAGTCGCAGGGCAACAGCTAGTTTGTTAGAAATTGGTTCACAATTCAAGAACAAATTGATTAACATACCTACATACTTTCATAAAAAAATATACATACTCCTTAAACATAGAAAATTCGCCATTCGGAGTTTGAATGAATTGCAAATACTTTTTGTTTTTTAGCTGGAAAGACCCATGATTTACCATTATCCACTAATTATGGATGATATTTGGTGAAAAGCGTATTTTATTTTGTTTAAAAGGAAAACTACTGGTTCGGTTTTGATAAAATTTTTGTTGAACCACATCGGTCTAGTTAGTTGTCGTTAAAAAAATTTTGAAAATCGGTCAACAATTGGCGGGAATATGGGTGAATATACATAAAAAATACATCGCCGTCAAACATTCATATAACCTTTTGGATTTTGAAGTTGGTTAATAAATAATCATCTGTGTCACATAATAAGGCTCAATTTTCTTCAACCAGTTTTTGAAAGTTTATTTGGAATCACCTGAATATTTATTTTGAGATTCTAATTTCAGGAACGATTTATCTATTCGGAAAATTAGTACTATAATACTTGGTGAAATGCTGAAATCATTAGCTGACAAATATCTAAATATAGATGAAGTCGGTGATAATAACGAAACATATGCTAGAGATATACAAGTAAGTAACAACACGACAAATTACAAAAATGGGAACGTAGTACTAACAAAACATGCAATGATATCTATACCATAATATCATAAAGCTAAAGAGTTTGTTTGTTTGAACGCGCTAATCTCAGGAACTACTGGTTCGAATTGAAATTTTTTTTTTGTGTTGAATAGACCATTTATCGAGGAAGGCTTTAGGCTATATAACGTCACGCTGTAACTATAAGGAGCGAAGAAATAATGGAAAACGCGGATGAAGTCGCTGGCGGCCACTAGTCTTCTGATAACTTGAGTTAAAAACATAAAACATTCCAAACAGCCACGTTTGACATGCATCTATGTTAAGTTTCTATGTATGCCATTATAAAATGACTACACATCTTTTGTCTTCATCTTGATAATATTTTTTTCATTGACGTAAGCGATATATTACCATTTATTTATGTTTTTATTTAAAATCTAAAATTTCTGGTTTTTAAATTACAAAAGTCTATTGCAGATGGGTTTGGTAGAATTGCAGTATGGAATAGAAAAGCCACAGAGTGTTGGTTCTCAACTACAGAAGGGCCAGCCTTATAGTCTCCTGATATACATATATTTCTACTGCCAGTCCACAGAGAAGTAAAAATTTAGTTACGATTACGATATTAAATATTATTTAACATAAAAAATGTGTACGTCAAGTTGTAGACTTACGTCTAAGTGTTTTACTTTTAGTTTATAATATATTTTATTTGCTTACTGTTTCTATCAGTCCAGAAGAAAGAATGTCCCAGTTGTTGCCATATTTAATGGAGCATGTTCTAAGGCTCCCGAAGGCTTTCAGGCCGCCATCTTACATAGTCAAAGCTCTATGGCTTGTTTTTGCCGTACGTATCAAAATTTATATAATATGTATCCCATTTTTTAGTCACTATTAACTATATGAGATATTTTGTTTGCATCTTCTTAATCATATAATAGTTATTTAAGATACGAGTGCGGAAAGTATGCCAATATTCGTGCCAAGCCCTTATTCGTAAAACCTTTTACGCTCAAGTTTCTTACAACATTTTTCAATGCTTTTTGCGAGAAAATAAAACAAATATATAGGTTAATAAAACTAAGTATATATTAAAGGTAAAAATTATTTGTTAAAATTAAACGTGATATTTGAACATGTTTTTATTTGAAAATATTCGTTCTAGGCTCCTTGAAATACTTTTGCCTCTAAAGTTTGACATATTTGCATCAAGTTTTTTTAAATTTCTTTGGTGCTCGGCCAAAAAAAAAAAAATATTTTTAAGCGAGTGTGCAGTAAAGGATAAAAAAAATAAAAAAATACTTTTAAGCACGTGTGTAGTAAAGGATTTCAGTACATTTTTATTTAACACGTGTTTAAAGACTCACTTTCGGTGTTTATAATGGATTAAAAAATAGCGCTTTATGAGCAACTGCATTGAAAAGTATTTTAAAGTGAACCATAGTGTTGTTTAGAAAAGAGGTCTTCTGCGGTAGTCCTTCGAGCAGGATTTCTTATTATCTTATTAATTCTGAAAAATATTGTTATATTGTTAATTTCTTTTTGAACTGTTGTATTATAGATATAGAAAATTTAAATACGTCTTAAACGAAAATCGTTCCAATATTTGTTAAAATATCTTAATAATAAATATCAAAAATGTACTACATAAATTCAATCGCTTCGTGATGGTAGCTTGGTAGCTCAATTGATAGATCAGTCGTGCTATTTATTAACGACTTTCTTTAAAGCAGATGTCTTCAATTTCGAACGGGTCCCTACAAACTTTAGACGAGCGCGTCTACCTCGAGAAGGCGATCGATCGTTTGGTTTATATGCTACAACCCGACCCCTCTCTGTACTACACACACAACCCGGCCATCTTGTTGTGGTGCTTCACTTCCCAGAGGATCCCAAACTACGTCCGATTACATGTTGTAAGTAGACGCTGCAAGAAAATTTTGAGTTCCCTGATTATTTTCATTACCTTTGCATTCTAATTAATATTTTGAATATGCCCTACGGTTTTAGTTATCTCAATGGTTACTGTTAGAGGACTCTATACCATGCGATCTCACAACAGATCCTGCAGTGTGGGAGCTCCTTCTAAATATTCTGGTACAGAATAAATATAAATCAGCCATTATGAACTGTAAGGAAGCATTACAGCAATGCTTGGAAGATGGTACTGAGGATGATAGACGAAACTTCGCAGGTCTTGTGTGGGGAATGCTACCAAATGTACTGTCTAAGACGCTCATTGATTACGACTCTGAAATAGGTAAGATTTATTTAGGTTTGACGAATATTGTCTTGTCTAGAATACATTTGTTTAGAACTAGCTGTTATCTCATTGGCTTGCGTAAATTATAGCCTATGTATTAGAATAGGTTAATGTTTGCCCTAGTGGCAATTTCAATTGATTTTGTACTTTAATCATTGATACAACTTTGTATGCAATATGCACGACCGTCTTAGTAAGAATTGATGAATGTATTGTGTATGAAAATGAATATATTGACTTGTGTATGAGATCAGTCTGTTTTTGGCAAATTAAATATTTATTAAAACAATTTAAGGAATAATTATGACTTAATAGTAAGTCTTGAAGTAATTTTTAGTATCACGACTCGGTGTGAAACAAAACAGGATGAAAAGACTGAACTTCTCGCCGGTTCTTCTCGATACAAGGTCTCCAATTGTAGGCACATGAAGTTTTAAGGAACACAAACCCTATTACTAAGACTCCGCTGTCTGTCTGCCCGTCTGAGACCTGGTTATATCTCATGAACCGTGAAAGTTCGACAGATGAAATGTTCACAGACGATGTATTTCTGTCACCGCTTCATCAAGAAATACTAAAACCTAGAATAAAATAAATATGTATGAGAGCCCATGACGTCATGACCGTGATAGGTAGACAGTTACAATCATCACAGATAATATTTCATAGGTATTTCTGGTGCCGCTGTAAGAACAAATATTAAAAAATATATTTAAGATGACTCCGAAACAACGAACGTGAATTTTTGCTCGTTTTAGTTAGAACCCTTCGTGCACGAGTCCGACTCGCACTTGTTCAGTTTTTTATTTTTCTACGACGAAAACTATTTTTTTAATTTATTTTTCACAGATACCAGTATCTGTCCATTAATAGAACTAGCTATTACATTGGCCCCACTCGAAGTAGATGAAACGGTATGCCTCAAAACAACTGTTTTAATTACAACGATATTCACAAAAAACATTGTGCATACAAATGAGAGTCTGGAATCTAGATTCTATTTCGAATTTGTATGCTTAAAGCTGTGCCTTTACTTGCTGGGTTTGGCCAATAACCAAAATGATAATAGAGGTAAGTTTGGTTAATATCTTAAGTCATCTCAATATGCCGTAGAAATTTTTTAAATTCAAGTACAATGTTTCTAGCTTAATAAGAATATCCTTTCCGACAAAAATAATCATCAAAATTGTTGTTTATACTCGTACATTGTTAATAATTATCTTAGAGACGTATTATTTTTACGTTTTCGAAGAAGTTTTTTATTAATTTATTTTATTACTAGTGGACGCCCGCGACTTCGTCCGCGTGGAAGTCGGTATCCCGTGGGAGTGAGAAGTTTTCCCAGTAAAAAGTACCCTATGTGTTATTCTGATGTATAACCTATATTGCTGTAAAGTTTTATCCAAATCCGTCCAGTAGTTTTTTCGTGAAAGAGTAACAAACATCCATACATCCATACTTACAAACTTTCGCCTTTATAATATTAATAGGATTGAAGTGCTACATAAAAAAAAATTAATGCCTCGTACTATGGCGTACAATATGAATAAGTGCTGAAATACATTTAATTACAGCCTCGTATTTTTTTTAATAACTTGCGTTGAATAGCACTAGTAGCAAACCGACTATGCAACATTTTGAATAATTGATGGAATACATTTAATAATGTAACCCACCAATTATTGCAACAACCATTGCAAAAAAAACATCCTATTCCATAATTATCATAAAGTTACAATACGGCCGAACAATGGTCAGCCAACTAATTAACTGACTCACTGGGAACACCGATATTTATTGGTAGGATTAGAAGTAAACAGAAACAATGTACACACCCATAATACAAGTGGGTTAAGCTTAAAATTTTATAATAAATTCTTAATACTAATACAATTATATATAAAGATATAACGCGATGCTGACGGCCACAGCGACATCTATCAAAAACACAGTAAGCAATGTATTTAACTGCGATTGCTTTAATATTTTCATTACGATTACAGATAACAAAACCAAATGAACATATTGGCGGCTATTGTCAAATGAGGCGTCTTGTTAAACAGTCCAAATGTCATTATTCAACTAGAAAACTAGGCGTGCAATTCAATGGCACCATCCAATTTAATGGCTAGCCGTACAATTGAACGGCTGTTTTAACCAGTTGCGTACGACATATACATAAAATAATTTAATTAATTATTTTTTTGTCTGTCTGTTTGTTCCGGCTAATCTCTGAAACAGCTGAACCGAATTAGACCGGACTTTCACTGGCAGATAGCTTATGTAATATGGAGTATTTTAGACTATTTTCCACGCGGACAAAGTCGGCGTTATTTGACACTATGGCTTATCATTTTGTTTTCGCACTAGTATTATTGACGTATACCAATCGCGCCGGTTTTCTTCCGTTGGTGTTGTCAGCGGCAAACAGCGTGGATGACAGAGTTGCTTGTGCCGCGATACAACTCCTGACGTACATAGTACACTACTTTACCAAAAATAAATATCAGGTAAATGTTGAAAAAAATGCCTTCATTCTCCTCAAATAAACTGTAGAAGGATTACATGACATATGGAGCATATATAGCTATGTGGCTACATACTAGCAAGTAGAAACCACTTGCAAAAAAGACAGAGTCGGTAACCAACCTCAATCTCCACTAACTTATGCACAGTGAAAGATAACTACTAAAAGTCCAGAAGAAAACACTATAGAATATAATTTTTAAATGGATAGAGCAGAAAAGGCTCAGATGACGACCACCACAGCTTTGGATGGATGTCACCTACAGACTAGTAGGCAAGACTGGATGTTGTGGGCACAAAACCGCCAGGAGTTTGGACAGCCATACATTTATAAGTAGATGCAATAAAAGCTGTAAATATGATGATAAAGATCGAATTGTTCAATGACGACATTGGAAGTTTCCGAGGGTAGTTTGAAAAGTTCTCGGTCCGTCTAAGAAAACAAAGAAAATAAAAATAGAAACATGTTATATTTTTCTACATATTCTCCCTTGTTTCAATACAATAGCACTTGGCATATGATTAAATAAAGAATTGAGGTGTCGAATGACAATCAATTAGTTTACCTACTACCCTCAAATCTTGGACAGGCCGAGAACTTTAAAAACCACCCGCGAATTCCAGATACGTTACACACCATAAAAATCCAGTCCTGTCATTGTCGACTTAACTATATTCTTTGCAGAGTTAAATTACTTTGTTTCGCTTAGCTTAACGAAGTCTGTTTATTTTAGTTTAGATTCATCCACATACAAATTTACCTCGGCTATAATTCTAAAACTATCAATATATTTCCAGCCAAAGACAGCATTGCAATTAGAAACACAGTTTATTATAAAATCACTTCGACGAGACAGCAGCAACGAACGGGGAGCTTGCTTAGTACAACTAATATACACAGTTCTAAACTCAGGAGCGCATACACCGCTCGCTTTAACTGTAGAGCTCGATATACAACCATCGAAAACGCAGCAATGCAATGCCCTGAGAGCGTTGATGTTTAGGATACAACTGATGTTATGCTGCAGGGTGAGTTTCTTTTAAGTAACCTTTTAGACTGTATTACAAAAGTAGGAAGTAACATAATGGTAATATTTTAACATTGGAGAATTTTCCTAATGAAAAATTTCTTAAAAATCCACTTTCTCCCTGACACTCTGAAATGGGTCTTAAACAATTCGTCAATCCTGTTAGGTCCTGTGTAGCTCAGCGGTTAGAGCAGTCGCCCGGATTGCAAAAGGTCATAGGTTCGAGTCCCATCTCAGGGTGCCAGGGACAAATTGGATTTTTTTAAGCATTTTTCACTAAAATTTTTTTTTGTGAACGCTAAATTGATCAAATATAATAATTTGAGAATTTCTCGGGCTCTTAAATGAATATGAACAGGCTGAAGAATGGAAAGCTTGTGATATATAACAAACCACATTCCTACAGAAATGTGCAAAGATATATTTTCAGATCGGTAAAAGTCACAAACACCCTGAAAAAAACACTAGGATATAAAAAATAAGTATGATGTATACGATAGTATTTCTGGACCTGAAAAGCATTAGGTCGGATGTCGGGAATCTTAGGCATAACTGTATAAAAACAGAAATAGCTAAATGCAATCAAAATATTTGAAAAAGTCGTCTGATCCGACTTTATGCATGACTGTTGCTCATGAGTAAAAAGGCACAAACATACAAGAGTTAATTTGCCGGAAAGAGAAAAAAGAGTGTAGCAACGTTATGGCGATAAGTGATTTTAGCTGGTTCTGCACATCCGACCTAATGCTTTTCAGGTCCAGATTTGATAGTATGAACATTCTCACTTTGAACTCGTCAAACAAATCAATTACTATTGAAAGTTGAAAAAAAAAATTTGTTACTCAATTTCATAAACTAAAAAGATATTCGATCAATTTTAATCATTATAAATTCCATATAAAGTTACGGTCATAAATTGTATACCTTAGGAATCCGAAACGCAGTCATCGGCCGGTTGGAAAACGCTTTCATCGGTATTTAAATATGCCGTAGTGACAAAAAACGACACAAAACTGATTGCCGCTCTGACGTCACAACCATGGACTCATACTTTGATAAGTTTCCAACTAACGCAAGATATAACACTGGAATTTCTAACATTCACCCAAAACTGGTTGACACTATTAAAAATAACTATGCAGAGGACTCAACATGAGAATAAAAGATATTTTAGCAAGGACAGCCTTCTTGTTAAAACAATGTCATCTCTGAATAAGAATGTCGTAGTTAAAGACAATGATGATATGGCTGAAGTGAAACAGAAGATTTTAACTATGGTCAAACAGATTTTAGAATAACATGTTGAGAATCATTACGGTAAGGTAAAGTGAAATTCACTGTAAAAATATTGATTAATTCATTCTTAAATTAATGAAAAAGTAGATTTGTAATATGTTATTGAGGTATTTAAATAAAAAAACCTAATTATTTGTTTGCAAGAAACTTTTGCAAGTGACTGTACTACTTATGTCTATCGATTAAAGATTAAGAATTTCTTACAGGCTTTCCTTACAGAAAAAAAACAGCCGTTTTCAAAGGGTCGTAACATATTTTTATTTTAAATGTATGCACTTCATTCTACAATTTATTTGCGATTTAAGATATAAAAAATAGTATAGTTTATAATATAAATATGTCGCTAATGTTATGTAAAGATCCAAAAAGATATATAATAACCACACGAACTACTAATTGACTTTCTATTTTATCGATTGCCCAAAAATATGCCATCACTTTCCCTGTTGCACTTTCCAAAGGACAAGTGAAATTATATCAACGGGAGCCACGTGCGCATGCGCCGAATTCAAATAGTAATGAAAGCACACAATAGATATTAATTTATTTATCGATGCGCTACCAACGATCATGTGATTGATATGTGAAGCAGGTATCGGAATACTATTATTTCGCCATACTCATAACAAACAGAATTTATCACGCATCTACACGAAACATAGGTCTACCAAAATCTGATGGCAAAAAAAAAACAAAAGAAATCTTCTCGATTTTCATATGGCAATATAAACCGTCTACTGTTGACAATTGTCGAGTCAAAGCATGAAAATCGTTGTGAATATTTGTGAAAATATAAATTTATTTTGTGAAAATGCCCAAAAAGCCATTGATGATATCTCAAGTGAGAAATATTGTTTTTAAAGAAAAATTTGAGAAAAAATTCTGATGTAAGCTAAAGTGTGTTTTATAATTTAACCGGTAACTAGCAATGACGAGTCTTGATACTTAATTTTTTCTACAGAATAACATAATTTCTTTTGTTATTCTTAAGAAAAAAAAATCTTATATTTTTTCTTGTTTCCTCTTTTATTTACGAGTACTCATGTTAGATTCCGATTAAGGTAGCTCAGTTTATTTACTCTTGTTAGATTCCGATTCAGGTAAAATATAATTGGCTTTTTTCTGAGCCGGGTGCTCTCCCATCAATATATTAGATGTTGATAATATCGAGTGTACATGTTTGTGCACTATATTATGTCCCACGCAGATGGTTAATTTATGTCAAAATTTGCCGAGATAGGAATGTGATCAGAAGTACTTTCAATGCTATGAGGCAGTTGTTGAAAAGTGTTGATTACATTAAAAATATTACACTAATGAAGACATCTTTAACATTTTCCTCAATGTTGCTTTCTTCAAATTAAATTTTCTCGACTTGCCATCAGATTCTGGTATCTATACATAGTTTCTTTTCTATGAACACCACAAGCCGAGTACTCGAATAGGTAGCTGCAGTGCAGAAGTTAATAACGAAAAAGTGTAATATTATTCAGACTAATGCATATGTGAGCAATATGTACGTTATCAAAAAAATAAGATCAATTCGTAAATCAATGAATCTAGAGATTAATGTTATGCTCCGGAGTTGATAAATCAATCAGCTCTGCATGTTGACCAAACACTACTCTTAGGTAGAGTATAGTTTATGCGTTAGCAGGAAATATTTAGTACGTGTTTTTATCGCTACGTTTAATAATCTGAAACTTACTATTTAAAACATGCTTGCCAGTACACTGGCTGATGATGACAAACAGTATTTAGTATTGGCAGTTCAAAATTAATTAAAAAATTTAAAAAAAAAATTTAAAAGTGGGTTCACTTTAAAATCTATAAATAGGGAGAAATAATGCTATTCTTAAAAACGGTTTAATTATTCAAGAAATTGTTATTTAAGTCGGGCGGAGGTTTTCTGTGGGTTATTAAAATGATAACCACTCAACTTCAATTGCAGTTTCTTAAATAAAAAAAAAGTATTTAAGATAACTAATATAAATAGTGCAATAAAGTATATTAATTTATTAATGAATGACCGGTGAAATTAGAATTCTGAGGATTTAGCGTGTACATGAGTGTGATGCAAATGCTTCGATACCTTCGTCGCGTTCCATTCTGATAAATGTGCGATAACCTCAGATAAGATTTTTTTATTGGATCAATCTAGTAATTGTAGGTCTTTATTGTTTGTATGAAGGTAAGTTGGCAATATTCTGATACAGTATGGAAATTGCTAGCACTCATGTTACCGGAAGCGTTACGAGTCATTGACGTGCGCTGGTTACCCATAATGCAGTTAACTTCGCACTTCGCACACACAATAGGGCTGCCAAATATTTCTATGCAGAAAAATGGGAATGATGGTAACTAATTTTATTTGACTGAGTTAGTAATTAAAAAAAAAATAATAAGATATTACCAAAAGTTTGATATGGAGCCTAGAAAATTTTATTTCTAAAATGAATAGGTGACATTATAGAACCTCCGTAGTCAAGGAGCTCGCACGCTGGTTTTAAGGCGTCGCTATTCTAAGGCTCCGGAGTCAATTGCCGGTTGTAAAGTTTCAAAAACTGTTATTTTATTAATCACGAATGTCAGTTTTTAATATATTACGTGTTAAGGAACCAAAATTACTCAGCGGCCCATTTTGATATCATCTATAATTTAATATTACTCCCTTAAACTATCGAAAAAACTTACAGTATTTCTACTTTAGTATATTTCGCCGCACGACTGTAAAAGTAGTATTTATAGTTGCCTCTCGTATTCAGTTCACTGATCACGGAAAGATCACTGATCACGGAAAGAATGCCGTGACAAGTATCCGCATATTTGTAGCGACCGGGGTAGAGTCTTTTCCGGTCAAGAACTGACAGAAATATTCAAAGAAGTATCACCGTCTCGTGAGATGAACTGAGCGTCTACTATTTCAGTAGTTAATTTTTTTAAATATTTGCTCAGTTAATAATTGAACTGTTGATAACCCTGACCGTTACTGCGATCGTCTTATAGCTGCCACCATAGGACCAAGCTTTACGTGGCCCGTCACGAACCACGTTTGGGCGCTAGCTATTACACAATACTATATTAAGCGTTTAATTTACAACAATGTCATTGCATCACATGTGGAGAACGCTAACCTAATTGGGAATATTTCACGGAATGACGGATACTGTAATTAATTTCTGATTGAGAACTGTCTATTTGTGTTCATTTTTAGTTTCTTGATTTATAAATCACTAGAATGTCGGTAAACCACCTTTTCCTCACTAAACCTCAGTGTGGGAGTTAAGATGAGCAGCTGCCAAAGGAAGTCTTAAATTAAGTACTTCCACAGTGTTAATTGTCTGTTAGAGGAAATAAACCACTTTCTATTAGTAATTTTTATATAGAGAAAGTTATATACCATATATTAATAATAATAATATTTTTAGTGTACGCTACACAGGACATATTATTATCAATTATACATTTAATAAATGGACCACAACAGCACATATTTAAAATTTTGATCACCTTTTTGTGACAGTGAAAAAGAACTCCAGCCGAAAGAAATCTTAATAAATAGTAGATTTTAATGTTAGTATATACAAAATCTTTGAGATTTAGAGTTTTCTATCAAGTGCCAAATTACCGCAATCTATTTTGAACTTAACCATCAATGGATTATGCCTTAAAAGCGATTGACAAATTTCGCATTTTACAGTAACAGCTGACGGGCTGTCTGTGCTGATCATCATCATCACATTAACAGGCTAATAATAATTATATGTCAATCAGTATTTTCACAAGCCTTTCTCGAATCGAATAGGGGAAATTATTCTTTTGATATAAAACCTTATCATATTAAAGAAATTGGTCTTATATTTCTTCACTGCCTATACTCCATTCATTATAGCATTAGACAGAAGTTAAATAAGGTTCTTTTTATGGTATACTTTGTGACAAAATGTCAACAATCATGTTACTTTTAAGACTAACGGATAATTTGCTTCATATCCACTTAAATACCAGCTGCTATACTTAACCGTTGTCTTTCAAGCTATATATTAAACAAATTTATGAGTATTTGACTGACTTAAAACTTTTAATAATTATTACAATAAAAAGTGTTCATCTTAAAGAACCTAAAGAAGCAGGGTTAGATAGTTTCGGCATGATTCTCATGTCACTATAACTCTACCAAAATTAAAACGTTGCCTAATCCCTTCAAACGTTTCGGCAGTACAACTTTTTAATTTTATCAGATTAGGATTTATTCATAATAGTCAAAATACGTAATCTGGGATTATCATTAATTGTGAATTCTACTGCCTTTCTTGTTGTTTTGCTATTTTCGGTGATTGAGTAATTACTGTTTTATTGTTGTTTTTCTTATAGTTGTTATCTTTTCGTTGTTAAGTTTTGCTAAATTGCCTTAACCTATAACCTTTCACATTTCAGCAAGTTTTTCCAATGTCTTAATCAATAGTCTAATAATATCTAAATAAATGTTATAACTGTAATAATAATAAAAAAAAACACTTACAATTAGAATCAATCAAAACAACAGATAGATAGTTTTATTTTCATATTGGCTCTGAGTAAAAGATGAATTTAGAAAATGCTAGTCTCATCTCAACCCCGAGAAATGTAAAATTGCCCAACTCTTTCAGACTACCTAAAGTTCAAAATTTCAACAAAACTATTATAAATATTTTTTCTCCTCTTTTTTCTAATGTTATAATGAATGGAGTATAAGTAGATACTGGCCTTCCCATCGGAGAGGAACACAGGGAGAACATGCCTTAACACAATACGCGGGCCCAGCCCGGTTAGTGAGTCGATTACTGCCTGAACTAACATTGGCGACATTTACTCTTCATAATAATATATTCATAATAGAACTACATTGAACAATCACAAACTCTAACACCCGGTTTTTGAACTGAGAATTTTATGTTAAGGTTTTTGTTTCTGATCATATTTTTTTAAGGATCAGTTCAAGTTAAAAACTTAACTTATTGAG